ATATTTGTGTTGGACTTCTGTGTACAATTACCTGAGCTGGTTATATGTCCGGTTATACTGATTGTCTTGAGATTTCTCTTTGTCTTTTTCTTAGAAATTTATTTCTGTAGAAGTTCCTTTGAAGCAGTGCTCAGGAGACCTGGGGGACTCTCCTGGTGATTTTCTGCCAATTATGCTGGTGGTTTAATGTGAGGGTTCAAGAATATGAGCTCTACAGTGAGCTGATAATGGTTGGAGGCTCCAGGGCTTTAGCCAGTGATACTTAAGGATCTTTTTGTGATGGGTATAAAATTAGTATGCACCTTAACCCCTGTACTATCTTTAGTCCTAGAAGTTATTTTATTTTTTCTTGTACTGTACCTTTTGTTTTCAACATCCTTCAACATTGATGTGATTAACTTCTTCATTTTGGTGTCAGTATCCTCCAGTAACTTTCTGAGAAAGGATAGTAAACTTAATTTTTCATATTTGAAAATGCATTGGCATTCTCTCCTGATAGCATATCAGTAGAATTCAAGGTTGGGAGTAATTTTTCCTCAAATATTGAATTATTATTGTTTTCTATCTCCTAGCTGTGTTGAAAAGTTTGTTGTAGTTCATATGTGTGATTTTTTTGTATATGAGGTGTTTTTCCTCTGAAAATCTTACACTGTTTATTACTTGTTTTCAGAAGTGTTAGCATTAGGTGCATTTCTGACCATAATTTTTGCTTTTATATTCTGCCTATTTCATGAACCCATCCAATCTGTCCTGCTTTCAATTAAATGCTGTCCTGCTGTGCTAGAATTTTTTTTTACATAGTAGAAGTGTTTTCTTTATTTTTTTCCTGGCCCTCCTGTTGGTTACATCTTGTCTTTTCTGGACCCAACCACTAATTGAATGCTTTTTCTTTTCCATATCTGTTCTGTGAGCTCTTCAACTTAAATTCTATTCCTTTTGGTTTATTTTAGATTTGAATATAACCAAATTCACATTTTATGATCTTTTGTGAGAGTAGAACTTTATTGATACATAGTTACAAAGCTATGCATAGTCAGATTTCAATCATACAGAATTCCAACACCCATCCCTCCACTGTGCAGATTTCCCACCACCAGTTCCTTTCTGCAACACCCCGGCATGTCTCTGTGGCAGGTACTTTTCTCCTCCCCTCCCTTGCCCCTCCTCCTCCCCCCCTTTTACTCCTCCCTCCTACTCCTTGCTCCTCCTCCTTTCTTTTCCTCTTTCTCTTTACCTCTTTCTCCTCCTCTATCCCCCCTTTTGGGGTTTGCAGTACAGATACTGAGAGGTTATGATTGTTCCTTTACCTATTTACAGCACACAGTTCTTATCCAGAGTGATCATTTCCAATTTTTGTAAAAGTGGTCCCTTCTCTATCCCAACTTCTTTCTCCCGCAAAATTTGAGGCAGGCTTCCAACTGTGTACCAATCCTCCTGGCCCTTGTTTCTACCATCCTTGGGTATTGGTCTCATGTTATGCTTTTTTTTAATGTCCCACAAATGAGTGCAGTCATTTGTATCTGTCCCTCTCCTTCTCACTTTCACTCAGCATACTTTCCATGTCCATCCATTTATAAGCAGAAGTGAATTTCACAACTTCATTTCTCCTAATAGCTGCATAGTATTCCATTGAGTAGGTGTACCATAGTTTCTTTAACCAGTCATCTATTCTCAGGCACTTGGTTTATTTTGAGATTCTGGCTATTGTGAATAGAGCTATGATGAACATAGAAATGCAGATGGTATTTCTAATGTGTGTTTTTTGGACCCCTAGTATATATTCCCAGAAGTGGTATTGCTGGGTCATTTGGAAGCTCAGTTTCTACTTTTTTGAGGAATATCGGCATTGTTTTCCAAAAAGGTTGGACTAGTTGGCATTCCCACCAGCCGTGAATGAAAGTCCCTTTCTGCATCCATGCCAGCATTTGTTGCTCTTGTTCTTTTTGATGTGTACCATTTTCTGTGGTATGAGATGATATGTCGTTGTTTTGATTTGCATCTCCCTGATGATTAGTGGTGTGGAGCATTTTTTATGTATCTTGTTGAGTTCTGGCCGACCCGAGTTCGATTCCTCCGCCCCTCTCGGAGAGCCCGGCAAGCTACCGAGAGTATTCGATATGCCAGACACAGTAACAACAAAGTCTCCAATGGAGACGTTACTGGGCCCGCTCAAGCAAATCGACGATCAACGGGAGGGCCTTTACTTTACTTGTTGAGTTCTACAGGTTTTAATAAATACATAATCTTATTACTACCATCACAATCATGATGTAGAACAATTCCATCATTCTTTTGTGTCTCTTTATTCCAGTGTTTCCTTGCAATCCTAACTAGTATTGGCTTGTCTTTCTCCCTATTGTTTTACCATTTGTAGTTTATCATATAAATACAATCATGTACATAGCCATTATAGTAAGTCATGCCTTATTGTGGTTTTAATTTGCATTTCCTGGTAATGCTGTTGAGTTTCATTTCATGTAATTATTAGCCATGGCTATAATGTTGGTGAACTATGTTGGGCAATATTTATTTTACCTTAATTTTGTTTTGTAGTGTTTTGGGAGGGAAGCCTCCCAGTGGTTCTTGGGTTAACCAGTGCTAGTTTGGTGGTGCTTGGGAGACTGTATAATGATAGGAATTGAATCCAGCTCCATTTAAGAACTCTGCCTAACTCAAAGGTCCCAAAGATTTTGTTTTCTGTATTCTATAAAAAATTTTAAGGTTCTGTTCTATATTTAGGCATTTGATCCATAAATATTGTACAAGATATGAAATATAGGAAATTATTTTAGCAGACAGATATCAGTTGTACCAGTACCATTTGCTGAAGGTACTGTCTCTTTTAAAAATTGAACAGCAATCGCACCTTTGTCAAAAATCTGTTTACTGTTTTTATGTTGTTCTTTTTTCCCTGTGGACTTCCTATGTGTGAGTTTCCTTTTTGTCTTCTAATTTATAATATTTCCTGCCCTTCTTTCCACCATTTTCCCTTCTCTGTTCCTTTACTCAAAATGAATTATCGTTTGCTATTGTTTTATGTATTTTATTTTTAAAACATATACAACTATAAATATGAAGAATTTGTATTTTTCCCTAAAAGTACTGGGTGCCCAAAATGAATTAACTTTTTCATTCTAACTGAATTTTTCTTAGTAATTTTGTGGCTTAAAAGAAACATGTCTTGTCTGAAATTGTGTTTCAGTACTTTTGCAAAAGCAATAATTTTCTTAGTATTATTTTTCTTTAAAAAACTGGTTAAGGAGTCGGGAGATACTGCCTTGCATGCAGCCAACCTGGGTTAGATAGATCCCTAGGACTCCATATGTTTCTCTGTGCCTGCCAGGAATAAATTCCTGAGGCAGCTACGAGTAAGCCTCAGCTGGATATGGCACCAAAACAACCAAACTGTTTAGGGTAATTTCAAATTGGCATGCTAAAGAAATAAAAGATGTGTTCCTGGGGTCAGAGAGTGGGTTTGCATTGCACATCCTTGACACTGGTTTGATCCCTGCTGCCCCATATAGTTCTCTGAGCCTGCCTGTAGTAATCCCCAAGAGCAGAGCCAGTAGTAAGCCCTTAGCACTGCTGGGTGTGCCTCTAAACAAGCAAACCCAAAAGGAAAAGAAGGAAAACAAAGGAAAAATGCGGTTTTTTTCTTTAACATTTTGATTTTCTAGGATATAAAATTGATACTTTTAGTAATAGTCATGATTATGATTAGTACTGGATTCACTACAAGAAAAGCATTCCCAAAAGAGCTTAATTTTGCAACTTTCCAAAGCCAGGTTTTGATCTATTTAACACTTAAAGGAAGAGAGAAATTGGATTCTGCAATTTAAGCAACAATGAAGCATTGGATAGTGAAGTAATAAGAGACTAGTCTTTGAACCTTCCAGAACAGTGTCATTTTTTTCTTGCTTTGGTTTTGTTAGAATCGTAGCTAATTTTTCTGGCAAAGTGCTCTGAAGATATATTGAAAAATACTTCTTTCTATATACCTCTAATGCCGTGCCACCGAGTAAAAAATGTAATGCATTAGAAGGTGTATTAGCATGGTAGTACTTTCATACTGCTTCAGTTTAAAATTTCAATGTTAGTGTTTTAGAAACACTATTCTCTTTTGTTAATGAAATGATATACAGTAGTTTGAAGAAATTAGTCAAAAATTGTATTAGTGTTTCTTACTATAGCTAATGGATTTAGTCTTGTGATTCTAACAGGACTACTTATCTTGGAGAGCAAAATAAGAGGAGTACTGAAAATCCCATACCTGAAATATCAGTTAACAGGCTTAGCACTTTGAATTGCAATCTCCGTTCCTACAGATCAAGGATCTAGGGATATTCTTTCCTTTTTTTTCTTTGTTTCCCTCTTGAGGGATGTTTTTTATACTTCCTTTGCCTGGGGAGCCGCCCACACAGTGTTCAGGGAACTCTTGGATTACTTCCAGCCATACGCTGTGTGGGCCAGAGAGTTCAGTGCTCAGGCCTGGTGATGACGTGCCCCTTCTGTCCAGCAGTGCTCAGGGTAAAATGCGGTGCCAGTATCTAACCCAGGGCCTCTGCTTGCCGGACTTGTGTTCCAGACCTTTGATCTCTACCCAGCCTTCTTAAGAGAATCGTAATGCAAAAACTTACTCTTAAATTAGATTCAGAATCCCCGCTTCAATTTCTAAGAAATTATTTATGAAAGGAGCTGGGAATTTGGGCAGTCTGTTTGAAAATTCAGGCAGAGATTTTAAAGCAATGTGATGTGCACCAAGATGGATCAGACACACCTGAACCTTATTGCAGTCCCTTTGCAGCCTCGTGCAGCAGTTGGCTCTGAGTTCAGCTGCCGACTTGTCTGCATTATCCTCAACCTTAGACTGATTGGGTTAATCCTGCCTTTCTCTAAAGAGGTAGTTCTGTTAAGTACTCTCTCCCTCCTATATCCTTCTCTAGGCCAGTTCTCTATTCCTAGAAGTATCGGCTCTGCCTCTTATTTTCACAGGTCTCCGACTTGACCTGGGCAGGATAGCCCCTTGCTTCTGTTCCTGAGACGTGTGCCAAGATTCCGCTGCACTGACTGCCAACTGCCTTCTGCCTAGGCTTTGGGCTGTTTTCCGGATATCTGCATAAGCAAGCCCTTGTCACGCTACCCTTTCCTACCTGTACCCTCTTGTTTCTGTTCTTGCTACTACACTTGTGTGCCTTTTTCTCCCTTCCCATTTCCTCTCCTGTGTGCACAATGCATAAAGGCTGGAAAAAATACGGCGGCCAGAAGTCTCTGAGTGAGGCATCAATGGATGAATACTTAGGACGCTTAGGGCTGTTTCGAAAGCTGACTGCCAAGGATGCCTCTTGTCTTTTTCGGGCTATTTCGGAGCAGGTAAAATGTAAACAAATGTATTTTCCTATGATAATTTTTAGTTTGTATTGTGGCATGGAACTGTAAGTTGAATATATCTAGCTCATTCAGAACAATAACAAAATTGCTGTTTTCTTGTGTTGTGAAAATTTGAAGATTAATTCAAAATACCAGTTCCAAAATAGTATTGTATCTTCATTATCTTCTCTTTTCCTAAATGCCACTTTGGAATGTGAGAGATCAGATAATGATTTTAAAACTGTAGATTATAAGGAGCTACTGCTTTCTCTAAGGATTAGAAACGGTTGAGGCATGACAGAGTTCTCTTCCCATTTCAAGATGACAAAAACAAATCTTACTAATGTTGGGGCTTAATTTCTCGATTTCTACATAATTCTACATGAGGGAACATTAATGTGTCCAGTAGCTGCTCTTTCAAATGACTACTGAATGTGAATGTGTTGCTGTTTCTTGTTTTAGATGTTTTACAGCCAGGTACATCATTTGGAAATCAGAAAGACTTGTGTCTCATATATGAGGGAAAATCAAAAAGATTTTGAATCTGTAAGTAAACTACATATGCAGTAGTTACCAGTAGATTAAGTCATAGGTGGGGAATTGATTTTGAGGCCTACATTTTACTGCTAATCTCTGTATCATTCCAATTTTAGTATATGTGCTGCGAAGGGCTGGAGCCATAGCACAGCGGTGGGGCGTTTGCCTTGCAAGCTGCCGGCCTGGCCGAGCCAGGTTCGATTCCTCCGCCCCTCTTGGAGAGCCCGGCAAGCTACCGAGAGTATCTCGCCTGCATGGCAGAGCCTGGCAAGCTACCCGTGACGTATTCGATATGCCAAACACAGTAACAACAAGTCTCACAATGGAGACGTTACTGGGCCCGCTCGAGCAAATCGAAGAACAGCGGGAGGACATTGCTACATTTTACTGTGCTTTTTCCTCTCGAGTCTGTATTTTTCAGTTCTTTCTCTTGCTAGCATGCTTCTAGACCCCTTCCATGAACTGGTTTGTTCTGTACTAGGAAAATGAAGAAAACTGTTTTCTTCTCATACTTTCCCTGATAAAATACAAATCCCAGAAGTTTTGACAGCTTATTTTAACTTACCCATGCCACCGTTTTCTTGAATAATTAATCACAATTTGTGAAAGGTGTGACTTTGTCAATACTATCTATATATTTTCAGTATGCACAAATTGGAGCCCCTTTTGTATTCTACTAAATTCTGTGAACAGTGATATTTAGCTGACCAACTTAAAAAAATATTTAAAATTGAAACAGATTCCCAAGCATCTTATTTTATGTGGCAAAATATGGTAATCAAAGCCTTGCCACAAATGATTGACTTCAAAACAATTTTTAGGAAAAAAATTTATACCTTAAAGAATTTAAAATTTATTTTAATGAAATGACTTTTAATCAGGGTCTGTGTGACCATTAGTATTTTTTTTATTTTCCCCTTCTGCTATCCATTCCAGTACCATTTGTTTTCTTCTGTGGTATGAGTATTTGGCTGGTGTTTGAGATTTAATCTTAATTTTCTCAACAGGTTTCAGTGATTACCTGAAACTTTGAAGGCTTCTGGCTTCTTGACTTTAAGGCTCATTAACTTGAAGCTGCTTACCTTCCCTACACCTGGGGAAAGGAGTATGGAAGTAATTTCAGTTACTTCAGATACAATATGGTTTAAGGCAATGCATCTCAAGTATTTTCCAGCATATAGATCACCTGGGGATTGTTTAATATCTGGAAATTTGAGCTGGGCCCAGGATTCCTGTATAAACTCCAGGTGGTTTTCGCTGTTGTTCTTGGGCTACATTTTAAGGAAAAAAGATGTATGTAAAACTGTAAAACTCTGTATATGAATCACAGAATAATTATGCTTAATGAAGGAAATTAGCCCACCCCTTCCCCACCCAAAGTACATACTATATGATTTCCTATAGATGAGCATTAGAAACTTGACTCACCCTGTGGTAACAGAAAGATTTGTGCAATTATAAAGGGGCATAAGAAAATATATGAGAGTTGTGGGTATATTCAGTATCACAGCCCTCACAGTAGTGTCATGGGTGCGTGCATATGTCAAAAATTGGTTCTATATAAATATGTACTTTGTGTCAGTTATAACTCAAACTGTTAAAACAAGCGATTGAGAAAAATTAACAATTGTGTTTTAAGCCTTGTGATACATGAAATTATACATATTCCTTGCATTTAATTTTATTTTTATTGAGGTATACATACTTTACATATATTAAAATTCACCATTTTAAGTTTAGTGCTTTTAGTTTTGTCGGGCAATGATACAGACGTAGAACTGCCACTATGATCAGGAAACTGAATATTTTTATCACCTCAAAAAGTTTTGCAAACCACAACACCCAAGAGGAAAGAGAGAACAAAAGGGAATGCCTTGCCACAGAGGCAGGGTGGGATGGGGGGGTGGGAGGGATACTGGAATCCGTGGTGGTGGGAAATGGGCACTAGTGGAGGGCTGGGTATTTGATCATTGTATAATTGAAACCCAAGCACAAAAATTTGTAAGTCTACAACTGTACCTCATGGTGTCTCACTAATAAAAATTTTAAAAAAGTTTGCTTATGTCCTGGGAGTTTTGAAATTAATGAAATTCTATTTAAAATTTTGCAGTTTGACTTTAAAAATTTTGGTCTCATAAAATATTAAATCCTTATTATTGTGCTTAATTTATGAAAATTCTCAAGTTGGCAATTCAGAAAAAAGTCAGGTTTTGTGATGAAATGTCTGTTGTGGTTAAAAAGTTTCCTAAAGTAGTTTATATTCTAGCTTTTCTCTACAACTTGTGTATGTGCAAATCTTGAAGTTCTATGTGAATTAATTTAATACTATTGTTGAGCTGAACAGAAAAAACTCATTGGAAGATAATATTGCAGAATATAATAATATTTTAGTAGTACTGTGTATTTAAGTTAACTTTGTTTTATTTTTATAGTATGTAGAGGGATCTTTTGAGAAATACCTGGAACGATTGGGAGATCCCAAGGTAAGATAAAGGGGTATTACTATTGCAAGTAACATAAGTATTCTTTAAGCTGTGTTGCTTTAGCTAGACTCTGTATATTTTCTTAAGTAGCCAGCTGTGTTGACTCAAACCTTGCAAAATTTTAAAGACTTGCAATCAGTCTCTTGTGGAATATTAAGAATTATCTTAGGGGCTGGAGCTATATAGCACAGCGGGTAAGGCGTTCACCTTGCACGCGTGTGGCCAACCCAGGTTCGATTCTCAGCATCCCATATGGTCCCCTGAGCACCACTAGGAGTAAGTCCTTAGTGCAGAACCAGGAATAACCCCTGTGCATTGTCAAGTGTGACCCAAAAAGCAAAAAGAGATTTTTTGCAAAGATTATCTTAGCAATCTTACCCATCAACTAGTTAAAGAATATAATCTGAACTGCTCAAACTTAGACCATTTTCTTTAGCTGGGAGGAGGGCAGTAGTGACTGTCACTGGTAGGTTGTTAACATTATTTTTGTTATTTACTATTCTTTTATGTGGGATTGATCCCATTCATATACTAAAATAAATTTATTTGCGTGATTAATTTCATAGTTCTAAACTTAAGACACATTTATTAAATACTGTTTACTTTTTATTACTGAAATTCATATTCATTTTGAATATGCTCTTTAAATCTGTATTATGTCCATTTTATTTAATGATTAGAAGATCTTTATTAGGCCTTTTATTTTCAGAATAAGTATCACACTATCCCAGGTCTCAAAGAATATTCAACAAATTCTTCATCTGAAATAGTAACACGCATATAAAAAACGAGTTGTTGAACTTGTAAAACCTTCCTTCTATCTACAGGATATTTTTACAAAAAACTTACATTATGGAGGGTTATTATCATGAGTCGATGTTGGACATTGTAATAAGCCTGTCAAGTTGACAGGGGGAATGGGGAGGGAATGTGGGAACACTGGTGGAGGGAAGTTGACACTGGTGGTGGGATTGGTGTTAATGCCTAAAACTCAACTATAAACAACTTTGTAAATAACAGTTAATTAAAAAAAACCCTTAACATTATTTACGTTTAGGAAAGTGCTGGTCACCTGGAAATACGAGCTCTTTCTCTCATTTATAAGTAAGTTGAATTTTTAAGTGTGTGTATAAGGTTATTAGTCCATTTAGTATTGGGAAAATTTGAGATTTGCTGTATAGAATGAAGAGATCTAAATAGTGTAATTTTGGGTTGAGAACTTCTGGTATTTGTGTCTTTTTGAAAGAATAAAGGATTTCCAGAACTAGTATTATTGTTGTAGGAAATCTGAACTTAGGATTTTTGTTTTTTTTTCTGGCCACACCTGGCAATGCTCAGGAGTTGCTCCTGGCTCTGCACTCAGCAAATACTCCAGGTGATGCTTGGGGAACTTCATGTGATGCCGCTGATCCAACCGGAGTTGGCCGCATGCAAGGCAAGCACCCTACCCACTGTAGTATCATTTTGCCCCACAGCTTTTATTTAAACTGCTGCGTCCTTAGTAGGACAGTATTGCTTCTAACAGAGGAGAAACTGATTCTTGAGGACCAAAACACATTAGAAATTACAGTGGTTTGTAGGGCTTCAAAGTGTCACAGTATAAGAGAGATAAGTAATATGATTTTGTCATGCTGAAATTTCATAGGGAAATTCATAAAAGTCTAAAAACATGTCTTTAGGGATATTTTTAGACATAAGGGGGGGAATGGAATATGAGAAACACTGCTCTGTTATTTGATCATTAAGGATACAAAAGTGGTATTTCTAAGATACAGTTTTGAAAAATAATTATATAATAGAAGCTACAGAAATCTACTTGAAAAGTTTGATTTTTATGAGACTTCACAATTCTTTGTATGGTGAAATATATATTATAGGTTGTCAAATGTAATTTGTCTTGCTGCCCCCCATTTCAGAAAACAGTGGCCCCTGGACATATACCTTCTTTTTTTATTGAATCACAGTAAGATACAGTTACAAAACTTTCATGTTTGAGTTTCAGTCATACACAATGATTGAACACCCATCCCTCTATCAGTGCACATTCATCACCACCAATGTCTTCCGTATACCCCCCCTTTCCCCTGCCTTTGTGGCAGACAGTTTCCCGCATACTTTACTTTTGGCCGTTATGGTTTGCAATACAGATAATGAGAGATCATCATGTTTGTTCCTTTATCTACTTTCAGCACACATTTCCCATTCTGAACGATTCCTCCAACCATCATTGACTTAGGGATCCCTTCTCTATTCCAGCTGCCTTCTTCCCCAGCTCATGAGACAGGCTTCCAACTATGGACCTTGTGTCTACTGTCCTTGGGTGTCAGTCTCATGTTATTTTATATTATACAAATAAGTGCAATCATTCTATTTCCCTCTTTCTGACTCATTTCACTTAGCATGATGCTCTCTCCATGACCATCCACTTATAAGCAAATTTCATAAATTCGTCTTTAATAACAGCTGCATAGTACTGCATTGTGTAGATGTATCAAAGTTTCTTTAACAAGTCATCTGTTCTTGGGCACTTGGGTTGTTTCCAGATTCTGGCTACTGTGAACAATGCTGCAATGAACATACAGGTGCAGATGTCGTTTCTACTGTGCTTTTTTGCACCTTCGGGATGTATTCTCAAAAGTGGGATTGTGGGGTTATATGGCAGCTCAATTTCTAGTTGAAGGAATGTCTATTTGTTTTCCAAAAAGGCTGGACCAGTTGGCATTCCCACCAACAGTGAAAGAGCATCCCTTTATTGAGGAAGCTTCTGTTCATTTTTTCCTCCCTATTTTTGATGGAGTTTAAGGTTTTATTTTTTCTTGTACAATTCTATTAGTGTTGTATATATCCTGGATATTAACCCCTTACCAGATGGGTATTGGTTAAATATTCTTTCCCATTCCATGGGCTTTAAGTGAAAACACCACCAGATTGCACCCATTGTACTGCCTTTCCCCTGGATCACTCAGGTTCCCCACAGAAGTTGGTATCACCCACTCTGGGGTATACTGATATGTATCTTAGTGGGCTGAGAACCCTGTTGGTATGGGGTCTTGATCAAGTTAGTATTTTTGATGTCTTCTCATTTCTTACAATTCACAAAGAATAGTATACAGCTGAGGGCTATATGGTCTCTTGTGAGACTTTAGGATATTTCAAGGGAAACACAGATGATAAACCACTTTAATAAGGCCCATAGCAGGAGACTAGGCCAACCTCTACAAAATGGGGAACTGTTTGGAAAAATGTTAAGGAACACTAGCATAGAAGAGGTATCGGGCAGGTGGCTTATCCATTGTGCTTTTAAATCAAGGACCAGCTTTTTTGAAATGTAGGAGTATTGCTATTTATTTAGCCATTGATTAGGCTGATTGAATTGGGCATGAACCCCACCTTACATTTCTTTTTCCTTTTTATAAATTTATTTGTTGAATTACTGTGAGAGCAGTTACAAAGCTTTTGGGTTTAAATCTCGGTCATACAACGATGAAACACCTGTCCCTTCACCAGTGCCCATTTTCCACCACCCAAAACCCCAGTATACTCCCCATCCAAAACCCTCCCCCTACTTGTGGGGCAGATGACTTCCACATTACTCTCTTTACTTTGATCACATTCAATATTTTGACACCGACCCACCATTATTATTTGGGATTTTACCCCAACACTCAGATCTGCCAAAAGGCAACCGTAGACAATTTGTTTTCTATTGCTGATTATGAATAACATATGATGTCGCATGGCCGTAGTAGTGGCTGCACAATTTTGGAATTCTGAAATTTTAACAATTAGGAGGGATATCTGCCCAAACCTTCTGGGTTCCGAGGTTTTTTCCTGAGTCTCTGGGATTGTGGCCATTAAGTGGCTTGATCAGGAGCCAGAAAGGCCATTCGTGGGCAGCGACCCAGGGTGTCCTTGGGGTGGGGAGGAAAGGGCCGGCTCCACCCCCACCCCATGAGACCCCACGTGTCTCGTCACTGTGGGCCCAAACCTGACTGTCCAATGGCCTCTGGAGGATGGTGGCCACTGAGCCTCCAGGGGGAACAGGCAAAAGCACGAAACTTATTCCCATCTGGGGTGGCCTGGGGCCAGTAACCTACTGCGGGAACCAGACACATTTCTGCCAAAAGCTGCTGGGTTCCAAGATTTGTTTCTGAGTCTCTTCGATCATGGCCATTATGCAGCTTGATCAGACGCCAGAGCGGCTGTTCGTGGGCGGCGACTTGGGGTCTCATTGGGGCAGGGAGGAAAGGGGCGGCTCCACCCCCATCCCGTGAGGCCCTGCATGCCTTGTCACTGCGGACCCAAACCTGACTGAAGGACCAGCTTTTAAATTCACCTGTTTTGTATTTGGATGGCCCTAAAATTAAGACTGTTTATAAAAGTTTTTGAAGTAGGTGAAGACAAAGAGGTTTCTCCATATTTGGAATTAAATTTCAGTGGTCATAAGCTTTACAGGAGCACAGTTAATGTGCACTTGTTTGTTTTCTAATTTTTCATGCTACAGTGTCTTAACTCATTTAGATCATATGAACTGCAAAAGATGGAATAATTTATCTGGCCTTTTCCAATAAAAGTTTGCAGCTCAGATAGAGAACACAAAGTAAAGGATGTTGGGAGGACCCATTCAGGTTGACAGATGTGTGCCGAAAGTAGACTGTAGACTGAACACGATGGCCATTCAGTACCTGTATTGCAAACCACAACACCAAAAAGGAGAGAAAATGAAAGGAAATGCCCTGCCGCTGAGGCGGGGTGGTGTGGTGGGGGATGGGGTGGAGGTTGTGGGAAGGATGCTGGGAACATTGGTGGGGAGAACGGGCACTTGTGGAGGGATGAGTAAATGATCTGTATGACTAATGCAAACACGAAAGTTTGTAACTGTATCCCATCGTGATTCACTAATAATTTTTTTTTAAAAGTCCCCCCTACACACAAAGTTTGCCAACCATTAATTCAAATAAATGAGACCCCCACCCTATTTTAAACATATATGAATTGGTAACTTATCTTCTTTACTCAGTCATACCTCCAAACAACTTTTTTTTACATCCTCAGAGTTTAATGGAAGTTAGCTACCCACCTTGAGTTGTTATCAGTTTCTTAAATACTTGTTAAAGGTAGTCAGTTTAAATGCATAAAATATGTGTTCTTTTAACTGTCTCTTGTATATGCTATAACTATTTTCATCCATCTTTGTTTTTTTTCCTATATAGTCGAGATTTCATTCTTTATCGCTATCCTGGAAAGCCTCCAATTTGTGTCACAGATAATGGCTATAAAGATAAGGTAAGATGAGCGAATATTCACTAAAATACGAGGAATTGACTTATGTTCAGGATTTCTAGTATATTAAGAAACCCATTTTAAGTTAATAAAAAAGCGCTGTTAATCTCCTGTACAAGCATTTAGAAAAATTTTCTGCTTTTATTTGATCATCCAAGGATTTTTTTTTGAAACGTGGTTTTTTTCACCCTAGAACTGGAAAAGAAACCTACAGTGTAAATTGGCTTCTCAATGTTTAGAAAGTAAGGTTCAACTCGTGGAAGATCATCCTATTCATACCCTAAAGGGTCTGAAGCATCCTTTCTGAGTTGTTTTTCAACCTAAGTATAGTCTGCATAACCAGTTAGTCTGGATTTTATACATTTTCTTTCTTTTCCTTTATAATTGAAATGTTGGTATGAAATTTTGCAAATTCTCTTGTAGTTGTTTCTTTAGTACTCCCAAATATATTATTTATCACATTGATATATCACACTTGTTGATGTTTGTGTATGTGGAGCCACACCAGGTAGTGCTCAGGACTTCTGGTTCTGAGCTCAAATCACTCCTGGTGGAAATGAGGGGCGCATATAGTCACTGGGATCGAACTTTGTGCTGGCTGCATGCAAGACAAGCACCCTACCCACTGTAGTATCTCTACAACCCCATCACATATTTTTTTCTCATTCTGAAACTTTACTGAAGGCAATGACTTGTGTCCCACTACCTACTAAGGAAAAGTGATAGGTGCCTGTAAAGTGATAAGTGACTTTGTTAAAAATGCTAGCAAATATTTTTTAATCATTTTTTCTTCTAAACAGTTTATAGCTTAGGGAGTACTGTCATGTAATTTGTTCAGCAAATATTTATCCCTGTGGTATACCCCAAACACTTCACTGCTCATTATGTTTAGCAGTATAAATACAAAAAAACTTTTTTTTTGCTTTTTGGATCACACCTGGAGATGCACAGGGGTTATTCCTGACTCTGCTTTCAGGAATTACTCATGGTGGTGTTCAGGGAACCATATGGGATACTGGGAATTGAACCCAGGTTGGCCACGTGCAAGGCAAACGCCCTACCTGCTGTACTATTGCTCCAGCCTCACAAGAAACTTCTTAACTGACAAAAAGATTAAGGGGTCATGAAGACAGACATTTGAATTTATTTTTTCTTACAAAAACATACAAAAAAAGGCTTTTTCTACTTGAGAGTGTTTAGAGAATGCGATTCTGTTAATGACATTTAAGTGGAAAATAAAAGAGCTCAAGAGCAATGTAGTTAGAGGCAACATTGTGTATCAAGGTTTGGAATCAAATTTTGGGGGATCAAATTGTTGTGTGGTGGACAGACCATGCTAAAGGAGATGATAAAACTTTAAAACTGGTCCATTTCACCTGTTCCCCAATAAACAGGCCCCAATAAATAACTATCAGGTTATTTATCAGGTTTGAATGTTGGGGTACTACCTGATAGTAGTACCCCAATTTAAATGTCACTCAGAAAGGTTACTCAGAAAGGTAAATCAAGTCAAAATGACCAATTGTATGATGAATTATAGAATTAGAATTTTAGTGGGAACATATAGGCATCAGTTTATAATGACCACCTGAAACTTTTACATATTATAGTGCAGTGTCACTTCAATAAAAAATAAGAAAATAAGAATAGTCATGTCAAGTTGTATATATTTGAATCAAAATGAAACTTTTGCCACTTTGCATTGTAATTTTTAAAAATATGGGTAAGGGAGCTATTGATCTGGAGTCAGAACTTGATTGTTCGGGAAGCTCAAGGTAGTGTAGGAAGTTAGCAAATGGTGCTTAAGATAATTTCCTAAGGAAGCTTGCTAGTTGCATCAATGACAAAGATCACAGAGATCTTTGATACCTAATGTTACCCAAACCAAAGAGGGCTTAAAATAAAACAGCTTTAATCACTAAGAATTAGGTCCCTTTCACAAGACATATTTTTGAGTAAGAATGTGAACAGTTTTAGAGCAGTTTAGCAAACATTTTTATCATTTGAAGCCAGGGGGCATTTTTGGAGTATAAATAGTATAGTTTGGAGTATTGGGGTATTTGACTTAATTTTAGTTATATTCAGAAGGTAAGATGGATCTTCTGATTTCTGTTAGCTCTCATATCCATGAACTCCTTTTCTAAAAGTTCCAATCTTTTATAAATTTGAGAAATAGTACTTTTCTGGTATTCGAACAGCAATATGATTAAGATGTTATAGCCTAAGTGACTGTTTTTGAGCCTCATCTGGCAGAGCACAGGACTTACTCTTGGCACTCTGCTCAGTAATTACTCCTGGCAGGACTCAGCAGTGATACCAGGGATCAAATCCAGGTTGGTTGATGCAAGGCAAGTGTCTTACCTACTGTACTGTCTCCAGTGTCAACCTTACTGAGTTTTGGCCTTTAAAAGTCATTGGCAGGAAAATTTTGTTAGGAAAATCTATTTATCTCACATCTGTACTTAAATTTAAAAAATCCTGTTTACTTTCAGCGTAGTCGACAAATTATGCTGAGTGAAAGAAATTAGAGAAAGGTACTTTATAACACATGTGGATTCTAAAAATTACTTCTTTTTAAAACGCATATTTAATTCCATCAGGTTTTGGTTAGCACCTTAAATTTTAAGTGTTTCATGTTTGTAAAATGTGTCAAGTTTTCTCTGTTGTTCTTTGTGCTTTTTCTTCAGATTCTACTCTGCTATTCAAGTAATGGTCATTATGATTCAGTATACTCGAAACAATTTCAGTCAAGTGCTGCTATTTGTCAGGGTATGTGAAGGTTTTATAAATATTTTGGTGCTGTTTTTGACAAATTTCTACCAGTATTTAAATTGAAGGACCCATCATAAATAAATTCCATTGCTCTCTACTGCATTTGCACACTAAATTATGAATTTTTCATTTATTAAGACCTGACTTTGACTATTAGTATTTTCATAATTTTTTCTCTCAGCTGTGTTGTATGAAATTCTCTATAAAGATGTATTTGTTGTGGATGAAGGCGAGTTGAATACTGCAGTTGAACTGTTTCGAAGTGGTTCCAAGAAGAACAGAAACAATGCAGCCACTGCCAGTGAAGATTCCCATATTAACTCGGGCAAGAATCCAACTCAGGATAGGTAATAGAGGGGATGAGGATGTCAGTTACAAGATCATTGTGTTTCTTGTTTCTTTTCATCATTGTATGAATGTGGAGGGGACTTAACAAGCTTAAAACTTAAATATTATACATATGGGTATATGGTCTTCATTGTATTTTTATTGAAGTAATTGATTTACAGGAGTATAAATATTTGTTTTAGGGGTAGAGTGCCTATGTTTACAACCATAGTACCAATACTGGATAAACATTTTTAAAACTTAGTCACTCTGAAATAACAAAGTTTTCATGGATGGGTTTCAGGCATACAGTATTTCAACACATTTCTAAAGGGGGCAACAAAGGATGAGGTTTTTTAAAGATGCTCAGACTTTGAGAGTTCAGACTTAAGATAATTACAAAACTTTTTGATCCCGTGATGATCAAAGTTTAATTACATACAAATTACTCAGGATATTAGGTGGATTTTTGGATCTATACTCAAAAACTTTGAGGTGAAAGTGGGTCCAGGAATCTGATTTAAAGGAATATATCCAGGTATTCTGATGTAGGTAGACCATGGACCACACTTTGACTAAGAACTGTTTCTAAACCAGATGTTCAGATTATTACACATGTAACCATACATGCATCAGTGTGTTCTCACATGATCTGGCGAGAAGAGAAACTTGCAGGCTAAGAGATGTTTAGTATGTTTATATATGTTTATATATAGTTTATATATGTTTAATATACTTAGTAGGTAAGTATATTCCTAGCACAGTATATAGCACAGCGGTAGGGCGTTCGCCTTACAAGCGGCCAACATGGCCGACCCGAGTTCGATTCTTCTGCCCCTCCAGGAGAGCCCGGCAAGCTACCGAGAGTATTCGATACGCCAAACACAGTAACAACAAAGTCTCCAATGGAGACGTTACTGGGCCCGCTCGAGCAAATCGATCAATAGGAATGTAGATTCTACATGTTTGACGAAAGCATCTATTGAACAGATTTAGACAGACACACATATTCCATCAAGCTATTATTGAACAGATTTAGGCATACTTTCAAGTGAGTAGAAGAATCTTTCAGGCTAAGGGGAGTTTTGAGAGCTTTTGAGTTCCTCTTCTTGGTACTTATTATGAATATAGATTCTGTGCCTCTTAGGAAGCAGCTATTATTGAGCAGACTAAGTCAGAAGCTTTATGTTTTATATAATGAAGTTTAGGTAATATTTCTTCTTAATTTCTTGTATCGTCTAGAAATTCACATGAACTTGGTTGGTACCAGGCAGCTCTCACCTAGACTCTTTGTCTTTTAGTTCTATTTTTTTCTTTCCTTTCTGTTTTGAAATTTGGCTACATATAGAGGTGCTCAGGGGTGTTTCTGGCCTTGCTCAGGAGTGTTGCATGGCTGTGCTTAGGGAACCTTATGTTGTATGGGGATTCAAATCAGGGACATAGCTGTCATAGCCACATGCAAGGCAAGTTGCCTTACCTCCTGTGCTGTCTTTCCAACCTACAGTTCTATTTTCTTGGATATTTAATTGCTTTCATTTTTTTTTGGTAAAAGGGATTTTTAACAATTATTTGCGATTGAGGGGGAGGGATGGCGGCCATATATCAGAGTAAAAGTTGTTTTATTCTTCACTATTTACCTGTTGCATCATAACAAGATTACCAAATTGGAGAGATAGTACAGAGGGTAGGCTGCTTGCCTTACAGACTTTCAACCTGTGTTCTATCCCCAGTACCCCATATGGTCCCTCCAGCACTGCTGGGGTGCCGAAAACAACAAAGCAACACAGTATTACCACAAACTCAATAGCTTAAAGCATAACTCCTCTCTCACCATTTATGAGATAGGAACACTGTTTAACCGCTGACCAAGCAAGTGGAAACAAACATAAGCAAATGGGACTACATTAAACTAAGAAGCTTCTGCACCGCAAAAGAAACAGTGACCGAAATACAGAGAGAGCCCATGGAGTGGGAAAGAGTGTTTACCCAATACCCATCTGTTAAGGGGTTAATATCCAGGATATACAAGACACTGGAGTGATAGCACAGCGGGTAGGGCGTTCGCCTTACAAGCGGCCAACATGGCCGACCCGAGTTCGATTCCTCCGCCCCTCTCGGAGAGCCCGGCAAGCTACCGAGAGTATTCGATATGCCAAACACAGTAACAACAAAGTCTCCAATGGAGATGTTACTGGGCCCGCTCGAGCAAATCGACCATCAATGGGAGGGCCTTTACCTTACCTTTACCTAATAGAATTGTAGAAAAAAACCCCTCCAACTCCATCAAAAAATGGGGAGAAGAAATGAACATAAGCTTCCTCAAAAAAAAAATAAAATTGGCCGAAACGCACATGAGAAAATGCTCTATATCACTAATCATCAGGGATATGCAAATCAAAACAACAATGAGATATCATCTCACACCACAGAGATAGGCACATATCAAAGAACAAGAGTAACCAGTGCTGGCGTGGATGCGGGGAGAAATGGACTCTCTTTCATTGTTGGTGGGAATGCTGACTGGTCTAGCCTTTTGGAAAACAATATGGACATTCCTTCTAAATCTAAAAATCGAGCTTCCATATGACCCAGCAATACCACTTCTGGCAGTATATCCTGAGGGTGCAAAAATGCATAGTAGAGATGACATCAGCTCTTGTATGTTCATTGCAACTCTGTTCACAACAGCTCGAATCTGGAAACAACCCAAGTGCCCGGAAACAGATGACTTGTTAAAGAAACTTTGGTATATCTATATAATGAAATACTATGCAGTTGTTACGAAACATGAAGTCATGGTCACGGTCCTCCCGTTGTTCATCGATTTGCTCGAGCGGGCCCAGTAACGTCTCCATCATGAGACTTGTTGTTACTGTGTTTGGCATATCGAATATGTCACGGGTAGCTTGCCAGGCTCTGCCATGCGGGCGAGATACTCTGGGTAGCTTGCCGGGCTCTCCGAGAGGGGTGGAGGAATCGAACTCGGGTTGGCCATGTTGGCCGCTTGTAAGGCAAACGCCCTACCGCTGTGCTATCGCTCCAGCCATGAAGTTTGCTTATAAGTGGATGGTCCTGGAGAGTATTATGCTAAGTGAAATGAGTCAGAAAGAGAGGGACAGACTTAGGATGGCTGCACTCATTTGTGCATAATAGGAGACTGATACTCAAGGGCCAGGACAATTGCTGCATGGTTGGAAGCCTCTCTCATGAGCTTGGGGAGAAAGCTGGAATAGAAAAGGGATCACTGAGTCAATAATGTTTGGAGGAATAGTTCAGGATGGGAGATATGTGCTGAAAGGAGATAAAGGACCAAATATGATGGCTTTTCAGTATCTATATTGCAAGCCATAGTGCCCAAAAGTAGAGTATGGGGGAAATTGTCTTCCATAGAGACAAGGGGAAGGGTGAGATGGTTGGGGGGGGGGGATATTGGGGACATTGGTTGTGGGAAAATGTGCACTTGTGGAGGGATAGGTGTTCCATCATTATATGATTGAAACTCAAACATGAAACCTTTGTAAGTGTTGCTCATGGTGAATCAATTGAAAAAAAAATACTATTTAAGGAATACTTAAATAGTATTTAAGGAATACTGCTTAGATGGATCTTATGCTTTGGGTTTCACAAAACTGTTGAAGCTTTTGGCCAGGACTGAGTGTGAGTCTTCAACTTTGGGAAGGATAGACTTTCTACTCGCAGGGATAGGTGTTCAATCATTATATGATTGAAACTCAAACATGAAATCTTTGTAAGTGTTGCTCACGGTGACTCCTTTTTATTTTTTTTTAAAAAAGGAATACTGTTTAAGAAATACTGCTTAGATGGATCTTATGCTTTGGGTTTCACAAAACTGATGAAGGTTTTGGTCAGGACTTAGTGTGGGTCTTTCCACTCACATGGCCCTTAGCAATATGCTACTTACTGCAGGTCTGGCACTGAGATCTTCAGTTTCTGCTGGCTGCCAATTCCTTGCCAGTGAGATTGGCGAACATGAATGCTTGTCTATTGTCATCAAAAAAGAGATCAGAGTCATAGGCACATTTTTTAAATATAATGTAATGGTACATCCATCCTTTGGATTGGTTAGAAGCAAATTTGAAAGGAAAATCACACAAAAGTATAAACAGGAGGCAGGGAGGTTAGGATTATAGAGACTTACCTTAGGAATGGGCCGGAGCGATAGCATAGCAGTTAAGGTGTTTACCTTTCATGCAGCCGACTCGGGTTCGATTCCTCCATCCCTCTTGGAGAGCCCGGCAAGCTACTGATAGTATTCTGCACAGCAAAGCCTGGCAAGCTACCCTTGATGTATTCGATATGCCAAAAACAGTAACAACAGTCTCACAATGGCGATGTTACTGGTGCCCACTCGAGCAAATTAATGAACAATGGAAGACAGTGCTGGTCCTTAGGAATGTATCCCCTGTAGAGGTATGAGATATGCTTAGTAGAAGTAATATGTTTCGTATATTGTAATAAGTAATATTGTAGCACATATTTAAAGGAAATAAATATTTAGATGTTGAGAGAAGAAGTATTTGGATCATTTTAAAAACAGCTATTCTACCAGTAGGTGGCAATCTATCATTAGATGTAAGAAATAGCTACTACGTTTATATAAATCTCTTTGTTCTGAATATTAGGAGTGAAGAATGGGATGCCAGGAGCAACACTGAAAATGCGCCAGAGGGATACAGTGAAGGAACAGAAGCAGCAAAGGTTTGAGATTTTCTATGGCAAAGAATTTTCATAATCTTGATTTGCAGCATTGTAGCTTGAAGTATGGTCAGATGGTCCATTCTAGTTATATGGGGCAGGGGAGGAGTTGATAATGTTTTCCTTTGTAAAAATCTTAATCTGAAAATATAAAATGTGCACTTACTGTTCTGATTTTTTTCTTATGGAATTGTAGAATTTCTTTCACAGCAATCTGAACATGAGAAATTTAAGAAAATGTTTTCAAAATTAAAGTATTATTTCAAACTAAATGGACATTTAGTTTGTAATATATCGATGCTGTCTTTTTTATGGAAGCAAATATTCTTATCCCTAGTCAAAATAAATATTGACCTTTGTCTATTAAAGTTTGAGAGAATTTACTATCTATGTAGGCCTAAAATTAAGCAGTCTTTCAGTTTGATGCCAGCTAAACAGGCTGTTTACTGTTACAACAGTGTTTATGACCAAAGTGATGGTAATTTGGGAAGAATATTAAATATGGTGAGATTGTAGGTAAATATAAGATAAAAGATAATCCATTTGGAGATTGAAACAGATTTTAACTAGAATGAAGTACATTTTTCAGGTTGTTCTGGTACAGAATCACTTGTGCCTCTGTGTGCATATCACGATGATACTTGTTGAATAGCTCTGACTGAATTTTTTTTTTCAGTACTTTCATCTTTTCTTTTTTTTTTTCTTCCCTTTATTTTATTTTATTTTTTTTAAAGTTGTAGATTTACAATTTTTTGTGCTTTGGTTTCAATTATACAATGATCAGATACCCATCCCTCCACCAGTGCCCATTTTCCACCACCATGGATAATATCCCTCCCACCCCCATCCCCCCATCCCCCCTGTCTCTGTGGCAGGGCAATCCCCTGTGTTCTCTCTCTCCTTTTGGGTGTTGTGGTCTGCAAAAGAGGCATTGAGTGGCAAACATGTTCAGTCCATAGTCTACTTTCGACATGCATCTCCCCTCCTGGGAGGATCCTCCAAACATCCTTTATTTGGTGCTCCCTTCTCTATCTGAACAGCCCTTTCCTCTAGGATACCCGGCTGGCCTCTAAGTTATGGAGTAATCCTCCTGGTGCTGATCTCAGCTATTCTTGGGTATTAATCTCATACTTTGTTACTTTATATCCCCCAGATGAATGCAATCTTTCTATGTCTATCCCTCTCTTTCTGACTCATTTCGCTTAGCATGATACTTTCCATATTGTACCACTTGTATGTAAATTTCATGACTTCATCTTTTCTAAGAGCTACATAGTACTCCATTGTGTAGATGTACCAAAGTTTCTTTAACCAGTCATCTGTTCTTGGGCATTCAGGTTTCTTCCAGTTTCTGGCTATTGTAAAGAGTGCTGCAATGAACAAACAAGTGCAGATGTCACTTCGACTATACATTTTTGCCTCTCTGGGATATATTCCCAGGAGTGGTATTGCTGGGTCAAATGGGAGCTCAATTTCTAATCTGACTGAATTTTTAATCCTGGGCTATGTTGAAATGATTTATGTAGGATGTGTCAAACCCTTTTAGATGGTTTGTATGCTGCTTCTTTAACGTTTCTTCTAATAAAGGTGAATCACATGTACATAGTATAACATGGGAGTGGGTGAGAAAGACCATTAATCTTCTTAAAGAGGGAAGACTAATGGTAAGGATGATGAGTTGGTAGCATGATTCATTTTTTTTAAGTCTACAGAAAACCCATCAAAGATGCTCTTCCCATATAAGGTGCTGAAGTCCCTGGACCCAGAAATCTATCGTAACGTAGAATTTGATGTTTGGTTGGACAGCAGAAAAGGTAATATTTCAACAGGATGGATACCTTTTGAGTCCTGACAGATCAAAGAGAATAGTTTTGCAAATCATTTATAGCAAGAGACATTTTCAATGCAATGCTTTTTTTTTTTAAACTTGGTATATGATTTAATCCAAAGGAGGAAACAACTAGTTTAAGAGGAGGAAGAGATCTGATGTTTATTTGGGACTTCAGTTTTACAAGGACTGTAGAAATAGCCTTTAGATAACTTGATGAGTACTAGAAATTCGTCATAAATGGAAATAGGCCTGCTTGTCTTAAACACCATACTGCTCTCACTGATAAATTACTAGGTCAATACTTAGTAAAATGGCTCGTGGGCCAAATCTGGCATGCTACCTGTTTTGATATGTGAGCTAATAATGCTTTGTTTTTAAGTGGCAGGAAAATATATTAAAATAACTTTATGTGTGTTAAATAAGCTATAAATGTTAAGTGTCCAAATGTAAGGCCTTATGAGTGTTGAATAGGGGCAGCAGAGTCCGTATGGCCCAAAATATTTACAACGAGAAAGTTTGCTAGTCCTTGAAATAGGTGATTGGTAGCACTACAGCACTGTCCTCCCGTTGTTCATCAATTTGCTCGAGCAGGCTTAGTAACGTTGAAATAGGTGATTATCCTTCCCTATAACTCAGTTGATAAAGTATGCCTTCAAGATAACTTTTAATGGTTTATATATATCCAACTTTTTGAATCACAGTGCACTCAGGGAACACAGTAAGTTGTTCAAAATAACTTAGGTTTAGGTCTTAGAATACAAAGAGTTTGGAAAGGTGCATCCAGGAAGGAATATAATAGCAGGAAATAATAGAATAGATGACAGATAATTGCAGGGTGTAAAACTGCCCAGGCAAGTATAGAATAAACAGCTCAGGGTCTTTTAGATGTAGATGACAACATGGGAAAAATAGAATAGGAAACTGTTTGGACTTTATACTACAAAGCTGCCTACTGATTGGCTATGTGAAATATCCCTCCTCGGCCACTGCTCTTTGTGTACCTATTGTATATTGATGTGCCAACTGTCCTTACTGTCTTTGTCAACTTAATAGTTTACTTGTTGGGAGCCCTGGTGGGAGAGCTATATAGTATTGAGTAAATGGCCTGCCTGTGAGATTACTGATGGCTCTCCAGTCTACCATAAAGCTTCGACACTCCTTGTGTATGTTTGTTTCATTCTCTGAAAATGGTCCCAGACTGGACGGAGATCAAAGGTGTCACACCATTGTCTTTGTGGTAAAGTGTTATGTATGAAACCCTATCAGCTACTATAAACCACAGTACAAAAACTTATTTTTAAAAAAACTGCCTCTTGTAGAAGCAGACTTGTGGGTGAGACGTAAATGGGGGATGGGGTGGGGGCAGGGGCATTGGTAGAGGGAATTGGGCATTGGTGAAGGGATTGGTGTTGAAGCATTGTATGCCAGTTATTAATGACTTTTTAATTTCATGGTGAATAAAAAAATTTAAGGTGCAAATCCTATTGACCTTACATAAATCTTAAGATTGCAACCTCTCAGTTTCCATCTGGTGTTTTATGCAAAGTTTTGTGAACTACTCTGGTGCCATGCTTTAAACTGACTGTAGGAGTGACTGAGGAGATAGCTCAATGGGCTGCACACATGCCTTGCATACAGGAGACCTGGGATTGATCTTTGTCACTGGGTTCAATCCCTGGCAATTCATAGTCCCTTGAACCTCACCAGGAATTAATTACCCCTGAGCACCTCCAGCTGTGGCTCAAAAATCCAAACTGCCAATCTCTCTCAAAAATTATGATGGGATAAAGGGCCAAGAATGTGATTCAATGGAAAATAAACTGTCTTGCTAGTGTGAGGCCCTTGGTTCTGACTCCTCCCCACCAATCCCACTATAAAAATAAAAATGACCATAATATTTTACTACCGAGAATCATGCACTGTTCTTTCCCCACCCCACTAGCCCCCTATATTTTTCTAAATAAAATTGTTTCACTTTTTTTTAAATTCATGGAATAACCCTTTAAGATTATTTTTTCATACCAGATTTCAGGATAAAGTAGTAACATTATAAAAGATATAATAGTAAAAATAGACAAATGAAGTAATTATAGTACAGCAGGTAGAGCACTTGCCTTACACGTGGACAACAACCTGGGTATGATTCATGTCATTCCATATGGTCTCCTGAGTACCTCCAGGAATAATGCATGAATGCTGAGCCAGGAGTAACCCCTGAGCATTGCTAGGTGTGGCCCATATGCAGAAACAAAAAAGGGATATCAGTAACAGCAGGTACAATATAAATGAGCTTAAATATTCTTTTTCTCCTATTTTTAAGAACTTCAAAAATCTGACTACATGGAGTATGCTGGAAGGCAGTACTATTTGGGAGACAAGTGTCAGGTTAGTTTTTCTGTAAAGACAAGTTGTTTTTCCAAGATTGCGCTTTTAATCAGTAATTGGTTTGAAGCATACTTACAAAATGCTTTTTAGATGTTTTTGTAAATTTTAATAACAAAGTTGTGGTTAGCTTTGGCTCTTTTTTAGTGTGTGCCTTCCTCCCCCATTGAACTGGCAGTGTACCAGCTGCTGCAATTAGTAGACACTGAACTCCAGTTTTCTTTGGCGTAAGTCAAGTCTGCTAATATTGATATTAGATGTATTCTTATTATTACTTCCACTTTTTTTAGGTTCGCTTGGAATCAAATGGAAGATACTATAATGCACATATTCAGGAGGTTGGAAATGATAACAATTCAGTAACAGTCTTCATTGAAGAACTTGCAGAAATGTAAGAATATAATTTAATGAATTATCAAAATCTTTGTCTCTTAGTGATTATTTGTCTAAGTTATGACTTTTTATAATGCTAGTAAGTAAACCAGATTAATACTTGGTACTAGCCTCTGATGAATTTAAGTTATTAAAGCATATTCTAAAGAGTTAAATAAGGATTATATCAATATATGAAAGTTTCTAGGTGCTGGACAGCGGCCAGATCATTAGAAATATACCAACAGAGTGCTCATACAAAATCTTTGTGCTGTGAAAAATGAGTACTGGTGAAGGGAAAGGTGTTTGATCATTGTATGACCAAGACTTAAACCTGAAAGCTTTGTAACTTTTCCCACAGTGATTCAATAAATAAATATAAGAAGATAAATAAATAAAATTATGAAAAAAAAGTTCTTAGACTGCAAAAAAAATCTTTGTGCTAATGAAAAATCTGGTTTGTAAAATCTCTGCCAATATTATTCTCAAATTTTGTATATCAAAGTATTACCTTGAAGACATCTTAAATCACAGCAAGGAAATGCAAGTTATCAAAGAGAGGGATACCTTGATTTTCCTGCACTGTAGATTATAAAAATGAGAAGGCTAGCAAAGGAAAGAAATTAAGGTGGGAAGTTAGAAGAGGTTGATGGGAGGTAACTCTGCCAGGGGTCAAAAGGGTCCTAGTACATTTGTGGTATAAATATATACAGAGGTAAAAAACACAGACCCAATCACACTTCAAGCAGGAGATCTCAAGTACAGTAACTAGTCTTAAAAATGTGCCTGAAGAGGAAGCATGCCTAGAACTATTTTGAACAACTTCGTTCAAATGACAGTGCCTTTATTAAAAATATACATGTATTTTAAAATAAAGCACAAATGAGTTCCATTCCCAGTGATTCTGATTTAGTAACTGACAATACCCAAAAATTTCCCGGTGAGGTTGATGCTTTTGACACTTGGATAAACTTTAAATGATACTGGCTATGTTGGTTATGTTATCTTAAACAAAAACCTTTCACAGCTTAAAATAGTTAAGTTTTTTTCTTGTTCAGTTGTATGACAGTAGTGAGTCAGCAAAGAGGAAGCAGACCAATAGGAGCTTTACCTTGTCACGTACTTCCATGGTCAGAGACAGGGGAAAACTGAGAACATGATATTGTGTACTGATTCTTAAAGCATCAGTTTACTTTTATTAATTGGCAAAAGTGGATTTTATAGTTAAGCTTATTTAAGTGGGGTGTGAAAAATACAATTCTCTAATGAGAAATAATAAATTTTTATAGACGAACACTATTATAATCTTTTTCCTAGATGCTGCAGACAGCCGAGGAATTCTACAAGTAACTCTTAGGCTCTCCTTTCTGTTCTTTTTTATGATCACAGTCCACTGATCAGGGGCTACTCCTGGATTGGTGGTTTGCAGGTTGCTGTGTTTGGGTGTTTGGGAAACCATGAAGTGCTGGGAATTGAACCCAGAGCCACACATATGGAAGGCAAGTGCTTTGCCACTGAGCTACATTCCTCCATCCCTACACAGGTTTCCAAGCATAAACAACCTTAATAGGTAAACTAGTGTGAAGGCTTAAGTAAAACACATTTAAATATAAAGCATGAGGTATTGGGGATGTGTATTTAATGCTAATTAAGTCTGTTGGAATGGCTTCATGGTAGAATCTTTTACTTTAGGCATATTGTTCCACTGAGTAACTTAAAGCCAGTTACCCAAGTGACACCTGTTCCTTCCTGGAATGCCAGTCGGAGAGGAAGAGGTTATCAGAAAATGCCTGGGAGCTATGTCTCAAATATGGGTTTGTATGCTGAAGGTTTTTAAATTTTCCTTTCTATGCCTTTCTACTTCACTTTTCAAAGGTGTAGTGTAACTATTTCCAACATTAGCACTATTGACATTTTGGTATGGATAATGTAGTGAATTGTTTTTGTGTATTGAAGGATGCTTAGCGATATGATACCGCTCACATTCTCCTCCTTGTTGCTACAATAAAAAATGTCAGACAGGGTAGGAGAAATAGCAATGGGGAGGGTGTTTGCCTTCCACGTGACTGCCCCGGGTTCAATCCCTGGCATCCCATATGATCTCCCAGCACTGCCAGGAGTAATTCCTGAGTGCAGAGCCAGGAGTCACTGGGTGTGACCCTCCCAAAAAAAAAAAGAGTCAGACATTGTAGATAATGGCCCACGTGTATTTGTTGGGGAATGGTGGAATCCAGAATCATCCTTAGTTGAGAACTATTGTTCTGAAGGACCCTATAAACTTAAGCTACAATGGATTTTAAATTCTAAAACTTAAGGGAGAAATATTTCTAATATAAATAAATAATACTGAAGAAAAGCAACAGATATTTACAGGCATAAGCTTTCATAATAATAGGTGACTGAAAGGTTTTTTCTGTATCCAAAACTGTTCACATTAAAAGTACTGAAATGTCCATTTATACAGAAATTACTTGCTGGTTTTACTTCTACATGAAAGGTATAGCATGTCCTTTAAAAAAATTGCTTCCAGGGCCTAGAGGGATAGTTACAGCAGGTAGGACGTTTGCCTTGCACGTGGCTGACCCGGGTTCAATTGCCAGCATCAAATATGGTCCCCTGAGCACCTCCAGGAGTGATTCCTGAGTGCATGAGCCAGGAGTAACCCCTGAACATCGAACATCGCCTGGTGTGATCCAAAAAGCAAAAATAGAGAAAATCCCTCCATTTTAAAATTTGATTATATTTTGTAATTTGAGGGAAGTGTAGGCCCCACTGAACATATTGGTTATAAAATTTATTTGCCACTTTGTTTTCCTGAAAGCTATGTCAGAGATGGACATGAAACAACGGAAGAAGATGTTCAAAAAAGTAAGAGGCAAAGAGGTTTATATGGCTATGGCTTATAGCAGAGGAGACCCCTTCATCCCTCCCAGGCTTCAGCACAATATGCATTATGGGCATAGCCCTCCAGTGCACTATTCATCAGCAGCTGCTGGCAGTGTTATACCTAATGAACATTTTCATCCTCAATATTCATCTCAGAGACAAGGTCCAGGTTATATAGTTCCCAGGTAAGAATTCACTTGCTTCCAAGATCTCTATGAGTTATTTAGAAATATTCAATAACTTAGATTTGTCTTGAATTCTTAGATTTCTCTATTGAATACTTGAATTATTTACAAGTATTAGATGTATTTAATAACTTAGATTAATCATCTCTGTGAGTTATTTATAGAAGTATTCAACAACTTAGATTTTTTTTTCCCATAAAAACCACACCCAGTGGTATTCAGCAGCTCAGGACTTCTTGTGACAGAGATCAGCCCAGCAAGGGTCAGTGGCTCTTGAGAAAAATGAAGGCTTTATGTATATATTGGCGTGGCTTTGCTCAAGAAGTACTGAGGGGTTGTTTTGAAGGGGTTATTGGTTTCAGGGATTAAATTTAGGGCCTTGTACATGCCAGGTACTTAGGACCTACTACGTTGTACCTGTAGAATATCTTATCTCACTGGCCATTATGAAAGGAAATTTAAACTTTTTCATAATCCTGCCTAATGGGAGCATAGAGGAAAGAGCCTATGTGTGTTTAAAGTCTTGTCAAGTGAATATGTTGGAATAGTTCTGATTTCATATTCTAGAATATGGAATATCATTAACAAAATTAGGGAACACAAACCTTTATTTTGCTTTTTCGGTCACAACCAGCGATGCTCAGGGGTTACTCCTGGCTCTGCACTCAGGAATTACTCCTGGCAGTGCTCGGAGAGCCTTATTGGATGTTGGGAATTGAACCCAGGTTGGCCACATGCAAGGCAAATGCCCTACCCGCTGTAGTATCACTCCAATTTTTTTAATTGGATGATTTTAGAAAGATGTATCAATTCTATTTATAGAGATTGTCTTGGGGGTAATGAGTTCTATTTGTTTTTCCTTCCCATATTCTTAGGGAATCTCGCTTCATAAATAGGAACAATGTAGTAGTTCCTAAAGTGGGTTTTCACCCTGGCCCAGGAAAAAGATGCTGCCAGAATTATGATAACTTCTATAGATCTCGGTAAGTGAATTTTAAGTGTTAAGCATATCAACTAATTTTTATAGTGCTATTTAATGTTGAGGTACTTGAACTGAAGTGTTACATCATTTCCTCCATTTTCTCTGAACTAAAGCTCATTTAGACGTAGTCACCGCCAGATGCATTGCATGAATAAGGAATGCCAGTATAGTTATGCCCCAGGGAATGGACAGATGCCCAGGGGTTTGGAAGAAACATTTACTTTCTATGAAGTTGAAGAAGGTGATGAGACTGCTTATCCACCTTTGCCTGTAAGTTAGTCAAAGCTTTATTTTTAAAAATTCATGAAATTTATACTAAAGGCAATGTGTATACTTTTTTGCTTTTTTAAAAAACAACCAACCAAATAAAACCCTTCCTGGAAAAGATACATTTTTATCTTAGCACTTTTAAAGATGGGAGAAAATAGGGGGTAGATAATCTTGGCTATATCAGTATGGGCTAATATTTTCTAGTTTTTATTATGATTTTCTCTATATGGAAATTATTTCCAAAGTGCTCTTTAAAACGTAGTTGATATTCTTCAGTTTGTTAGTGATGATGGGGGGATGCCTGTGGGACTCAGAGCTTACTCCTTCCTCTGCCTTCAGGGATCATTCCTGTTGGGGTTCGGGGGACCATATGTGGTGCCAGGGATTGAATCTGGGTCAGCTGCATGCAAGGCAAGTGCCCTCCCCACTGTACTATTTCTCTGGCCCCCAGTAATTGATATTCTTTGTTTAGTTTAGTTTATTTTTTGCTTTTTGGGCCAAACCTGGCGATGCACAGGGCTTACTCCTGGCTCATGCACTCAGGAATTACTCCTGGCCTTGCGTGGGACACTATATGGGATGCTGGGAATTGAACCTGGGTGGGCCGCGTGCAAGGCAAATGCCTTACCCACTGTGCAATCACTCCAGCCCCTTGTTTAGTTTCTTTAATCTGTTTTTTATAACTACATTGCAAAACTGTATGTATATCTCTTTGATACAGAGTCATGAAGTGTCCTCTACAGTGGTTCCTGCTACTTCTAGATACCATGTTTCCAGACGAGGACATAGCTTAAGCAAACAAACTTTGAATTCAGAGGGTGATGGCCAGAGTGATAATGGTGAGCAAGTTAGGGATATGTGTGTGTTAATACTTGCAGAAGCCGCTTGTGGCATTAGCATGTTAGGAGTGTTAAATAGACTTAGATGCTTGGTTTGAGGCTTTTGCTTAATTTTGGTAGCTCAATTTGGAAGTTTACAGTCCTTAGAACTTCCTGAGTTTTAATGATGTCTTGGTATTTTATAACAAGAGATTTCTGTTTTGATAACTCTTTGTACTGCATAGCTTATTTTCAGCTCTCTGTATTGGGTTTTAGTGAGCTTCAATTTGATGAGATTTTAGTATAGAAAATACATATTCATTTATTAGTGAAGAGCTATTTGTAATTTAGCATTTGTGGAAACACTTCGCTTCTTATGACTAGCTGCTATTTTATAAGACTGCTATAAAATTCACTCTTTGTTGAAGTCTGCTTTTGTTCTACTAAATACTACTTTTCACTGAAATCTATTGTTCATCTTCTGCACTAAGTAATTTATATTTATAAGCAAGATACTTAGATTATCCCTCTCAAAAATTTGGAAACCTTTAATGAAGAATTTGAGGTTTAAATGGTAAATGATGGTAAAAATAATACTCTTAGTGGCAGAGATTTAATTTTTTATAACTAGTGAGATATAATTGCCATGCAATTGTTTAAACTGTACAGTTCAGTGGTATTAGAGTCACAGTTGCAATAACTCATTCAATTTTGGAACATTTTAGCACCCCCCAAAAGAAACCCCATTCCTATAAGTAGCCACTTTCTATTATCCCTCCACCTCCTCTCAGATGTATAGAACAGTCAATTTGCTTTCTGGTCTAATGAATGTATCTGTAGGATAACACTCTTTTGTCCTTCCTCAGATAGCTTAGGTTTGTCAGGTCACACCCATCTAAGAACACTGAACTTGTAAGCAATGTCCTTTCTGTGTGGACACAGGAAGACAGTTAATATTATGCTTTGTAACTTGGGAGTTGATTGACTCCGAATAATATTTACTCCTGGGCATCTGATTTCTTGACTCAGTTGCCCTTAGTTCCTAGCACCCCAAAACCAGGGTCCCGACGAGGGACTGAATGGACCCAGGGCAAGTAGTGAGCTATCCTGGCATTGAAATGGGCCAGGCCAAAGAGCCACGATACTCAACTATAAATTGAGGGCATGATCGTGGACAAATGCTGTCATGATCCAAAAGTAAGTAACGACGAGACTAGGACCCTGCTGGAGCTAGGAAGATTAACCTGGCCTGAGGACTGCGAAATGTATAGTGAAATGTTCTCAGGAAGAACCAAACTAAATTTATATCTCTTACTGTGCTCATACAGAATGACATTGGTAGAAATATTAGAAGTAGATTTATTACAACTATATAAGTAGATCACTAACTGAGGGAAGAACATACCCTTGTTGGGATCCCACCCTTGGGTGGATCTCCTAGTAATCTGAAGTAATCTCTATAGATGAGATTTTATTTATCCTTGAGTTAATCTCCTGGAGGAGTGCTCTTACCTCTCTTTGTTGATTCATCAGTATTCAACCCACCTTTATGTCACCGCCTTATGTGACTGCTATATAAACTAAGACGTAAGCTCGGAAAGGGAGTCAGAAGTGAGAGAGCTCGCTCAGAGGGGGGTCAGAAGCGAGAGAGCTCGGGCTCCAGAGATCCAGAGTCAGAGCCAGAAGGAGAGAGGTTCCAAGATTGGGGCCCAGGAGAGAAGGAGGCAGAGAAAGACAGGAGTGAAGAGGATTGGAATAAACTACTATTGATATAGACTGGCCTGGCCCTTGTTTCTTCTTCCGTCTGCCCTTGGCCAACAGCCGTTCCGATCCAGGCCACACACAACGGCTCAAGAGCACCGAACGCAGGTGGTGAGACCGTGCCATCCAGTGAGCCCGTGAACACACAACCTTCGGTGTGATAAGATTTTACATGTATCCAAGCTGGATATTTAAAACAAACGGAATGATGTAATATGTGGACCTTTGTGACTGGCAGAGATCATATTTGACATCATGTTTGTTTCACTCTAAGTCTTTATGTATTCAACAGTTGTTGAATTTTTCCACTCACCTAGGATGTACTTAATTTTATTATTTTTCTGCAAAATTATATATTCCTATCGAAATAGTTCTGGAGGAGTAAATGAATTGAGGAGGTGTGAGACAGTCTAATGACAGATGTACCAGTCAAGATCTTTATTTTTTGTGTGATTTTTTTCCTGCTACTTTGGTTGAAGAAAATAGATATTTCTAGGAAATTACTGAGGAACAAAAAATCTAGTTCATGATGGATCTGTGATTGTATATACATCTGCTTGAGGATGCATGGTCTGAGAATATTGTGCATGTGTGCACATGTTGGGGAATGCATAATCTCCTTCATGTGACATTTTTGTCTTTACCACTTAGCACAGTGAGGATCTTCATACGTACTTGTTCCCCTGTAGTAACATCTTCAGAATATCCAAATATTGTACTTCGGTGTGGTGTTATGGTATTTGGAATCATGTTTGCATGAAACTTAACATTTGTGTTACTGTAAATCATGGTATCTCAATAAAAATGAGAGAAAAAGGGTATCCAAATCTATTCTTAGCATCTTCACCCTGCTTTCTGTAGGAATTCTGTCTTTTGTGTTTAAGAATGAAGTCCAGTTTACCTGTGGGTTTTATTGTGGTTCAGTTTAGGATTAACTTTCCCTGCATTTTGGTGTTGTAGTAGCCTTAAAGCAAAGTATTTTACATGCACTATAGCAAAACCATCTTTTGATGACAGATATGAACTGAATAGTTAAGCTAAAACAATGCTGAAAAAAACAGGTGAGGCATGATACATTCTTGTATTGTTCACTTAAACTTTGGGTTATACTTATTTTATAGTAATCATTACACTATGTTAAGGACCATGCTAAGTTCTTCTCACACTTAACCCCTGATCCAGGTACTATTTTTTCTGTTTTACAGTAAAGAAATTGAGGCGAAAAGATTAAATTGAGGCAAAAAGATTAAACTGCCTAAAGTATTGTTGGGATCAGAATTCAGTTCTAGGTAGGACTAACTCCAGAGCAGATGTACACAATTCCCATACTTGATTGCCTGATGAGAAAATGGGCACAGCTGAGTTTTTCACCGCTGGGTAATAGGAATAAAGGGAATTTTCAGAGGAAAATATAAATTGTTTACAGCCAATTAAAATTCAGTATATGTTAACTAGTTCAAAAACAAATACCATAAATCATGTATTTCAAAGATAACACATGTATACTAGCATATACATATATAACATACGTGTATAAGTTTTGAATGTATATATATCCAGAAAACTTAAGAAAAAGACTGGCCTTCTCTGAACTAAATTGTATTTCTTTTTCTTCTCAGATGGCTATCATAAAGAGTTTATCCTTCGGACTAGTGGGTTTTTGATATAATCAGGCATTTTTCATTGTTTATAAAATTTCAAAATATAAAGTAATGCTCATTTAAAATTTTACTTTGTGTCTTCTAGAAAATGACTATAAAACTTCAGATATTTATACTGCTTGTGAATCTACAGCAAACTTGGTAGGTATTTAACAAAGACTAACATTTTAGTTCTGTGTACTATGGCACTATTCCAAAAGCAGTACGTATGCATTGACTCCTAAATATTCTTGGTAGATTCTTCAAAATTGATTTTAAATGAAAGGGTTCATAATGAAACCATTTTGCCATAGGTTAATTGATTAAAAAAAGAAGAGTTTAGTACTCGAGTTTTACTTTGTGTATTTTTGGTCAAAACATATCACAAAACTTAATAGAATCTCCAACCACTTCTACTTTTTTGTGTTGAGTGTGGTTTGTTGACCATACCCTGTGGTGCTCAGTGCTTACTCTTGGCTCCAAATTCAGAGATTACTCCTGGCATTGCTCAAGGGACCATTTGTAGCACCAGGGATTGAGCCAGAGTCAGCGACACACAATGCCAAGTGCCTTATCCCTATATTTCTGTAGCCTCAAAACTTTTTAATATTAAGAAATAATGTTTTCCATTTCAGTTTTCTGGTTCAGGATTGTGGGTGGGTGGGGGCTGTCCCAGTAGTTCAGGGTTCAAGGTAGTAATCAACTTTAAAAGGTTGCCATTCCTTCTTAGAGTGCACTCACAGACACCCACATTTCTTAAACTAGCACAGCTGAGACTTCTGGCATACACCTTTTTTGAGGTATGGGAGAAGTTGGAAAACAAGGAGAAATTTACACAGATGTGGGGAAACATGAAAAATTCCTGGTCTGGGAGTCAATTTCTTTTTGTCAATGTAATAACATTGTATAACAATGTTTAGAAAATGGCTTTAATTTAAGTTGGAACAGATCTATGAGGGTCATTTCCATTTTGTAGTTGAAAAACTTGTGATCAGCCATCACAACCTTTTCTGAAATTAATCTGTTCAGGTATTCTTAGTATATGTTGATGAAGAATTTATACACTAATAATTTTTAGAGGATTGTATTTTTGTGTGTTTGTGAGAATAAATCATATGCTGGAATGGCGATGTTAGATACAGTGAGTCTTAACACTTTTGTGAAATTACCTAATACCATAAACCAATGACAAAGCAATAAAGCAACTATAAATTTTAGTTATTTAATATGTCACAAAGTTTGCTTCTTAGTTATACTTACATTTTCAGTGGAGTTCTATAGTATATTTGTGCCCAGAGATACAGGCTTCTTGATGGCCAGGGCAGGAAAGAAAAGAATGCTCTCCAGACAGCTTCTGTCTGGCGAAGGCATGTTTATTCTAATTTTTCTATTTTCTATTTTTCATTGATTAGTGCAATGTTTCTCAACATTTTACTCACTGTGATCCCGCTCTGACATTATTTCTTTCCTGGGGCCTCCCTGTCCTACCAGTTGGTTCTCTAGTTTTTTCATTATATCCCACCACTATGTTCAGGGCTGCAGGGTTTTGTTTAATAAATCTTCTGTAAATCTGTAGGATTCTCCTTTGCGTATAGTTTTCTTATTTTATCTTAATACTTTCAGTATTCTATTTCTATATTTTTCATCATTCTAATTAGGATGTATCTTGGAGAATTTTTTTTATTAGTGATACACCATGAGGTACAGTTATCGACTTACAAATTTTTGTGCTTGGGTTTCAGTTATACAATGATCAAGTACCCATCCCTCCACCAGCGCCCATCCTCCACCACCACGGGTCTCAGCATCCCTCCCACCCCCCATCCCCCCATCCCACCCTGCCTCTGTGGCAGGGCATTCCCTTTTGTTCTCTCTCTCTCCTTTTGGGTCCTGTGGTTTGCAAGAGAGGCATTGAGTGGCAGTCATGTTTAGTCTATAGTTTACTTTCAGCATGCTTCTCCCACCCTGGGAGGATCCTCCCAACACCCTTTATTTGGTGCTCTCTTCTCTGTCTGAGCTTCCTTTTTCCCTAGCATGTGTGGCTGGCCTCCAAGTCATGGAGCAAAATTCCTGGTACTAATCTCGGCCACTCCTGGGTATTAATCTCCCATTTTGTTGCTTTATGTTCCCCAGATGAATGCAATCTTTCTGTGTCAATCCCTCTCTTTCTGACTCATTTCGCTTAACATGATATTTTCCAAGTAGTACCACTTGTATGTGAATTTCATGACTTCATCTTTTCTAACAGCTACATAGTACTCCATTGTGTAAATGTACCAAAGTTTCTTTAACCAGTCATCTGTTCTTGGGCACTCAGGTTTTTTCCAGATCCTGGATATTGTAAAGAGTGCTGCAATGAACAAACAAGTGCAGATGTCACTTCGACTATACTTTTTTGCCTCTTTGGGATATATTCCCAGGAGTGGTATTGCTGTGTCAAATGGGAGCTCAATTTCTAATTTTTTGGGAATCGTCCATACTGTTTTTCAGAAGGGCTGAACCAGTCGACATTCCCACCAGCCCATTTCTCGCCACATCCGTGCCAACATAGGTTGCTTTTGTTCTTTTGGATGTGGGCCTGTCTTTGTGGTGTGAAATGATTCTTGGAGTATTTTTATCTGGATTTCTTTCAGCTGTTATTCTTTAGGCCTCCTGGATCTTGGTGTGTGCACTCTACCTCCTTTTAAAACTATATTTTTCTATTCATTAAAGTCTCTTCAGGACAGAGGAAGACCACATTGTGTGCCCCATCAAGATACACATACCTCATGTGACTACCCAGAGAAGGTAAAGTTTATGTACAGTATAGGGAGTTAACCTCAAAAGGTTAATTGAGCGATCATGGAGATAGCTTAAAGGTCTAGACCATAACACAAGATCCTCAGTTTGATATCCTTCATACTATACCCCCACTAATCCATGTTGACCCTCAATACCCCTTTGTTGGCTCTAGTGACCTTTAGCACAACCCAGCCAGTGTTACACCATCAGTCCCAAGTATTTAACAGTCAGTCTCACTTGACTGTTGTTGCTGGGAGTGGCTCCAGAGCCCTGTCAGCATTGTTTAGGAGTCCCACCCCCAAAGAAAGGAAAGTCGCTAAGAACATATAAATGCATAAGAACATCCTGGAAAAAGGAAGATTGAGGAAAGAATACAAGGTACAGTGGTAAAGAAATAGAGACTTCCTGTGAGGACCATTCAAAACATTCAGTATCATCTGTAGACCATCTATCTAGTTTGGGTACTGTGAAGCATAGTCTGTTCTCTTAAGTAGTTGTTGCCTAATCAGAATTAAAAGCTCAGTCTCATGAAGTTAACGAAGACAGCTTTTCTGTTTCAAAGAAGTATGCTATTTGGTGGAATATATATTTAAATGTATGTCATTTAATATATACAGATAATGTATGTTTAAAATACAGATTTGTATGCAAGAAATTTCAGAGGTTTCATATTTGAGAAGATTACTCCGTAGTTTGGTGACTTGAGCTGGAGGGAAATGTTTATATACGTGAGTTTGAATCATTAACGTGTTTCATCTTTTCAGAAAAATAATACTTTAAAAATTAAAGCTTTCAAAGTAGTCTGGGAGCTTCTAGGTTAACATAAAGGTTGATTTATCAGTGTTCTGTTTTATCAAAGTACTATTTTCAGAGATTTAAATTCAGAAACATTATTTAAGAAACCAAACTTGTGTTCCAATATTTTTTCCACACTTACAGGTGATGGTGAACTCTGCGGCAGTTGCAGCTTCCTGTGCCGATAATGTTCCAGCTCAAGACTTTTCTAATTGTTCAGTAGTAGCTAATCAAGCTAGTAGTATCACTTCTGTTTCCTCACAGACTGCTGTGCAGCCTCTATTTGTATCTGCAGCTACTCAAGGCAGAGCAGGTATGTTATTAGTGGTAGCTCATAATGGAATTCCTCTTCTCAAAGATGTTTCTAGAACAGTTCTTGTGATAAATAGGATTACATTAATTTCCAATACTAAACTTGTCTATTTTACTTATTTTGGTTTTGGAGACACATCCACTGGTACTGGCTTACTCCTGGCAGGGATCTGGGGACTATATGCAATACTGGGGATTGAACCTGAGTCGGCCTCATGCAAGGCTAGCATCTTGCTAGGCAAGCATCTTGCTGGATACTGCCTATCCAGCCCTAAAATTTGTCTATTTAATGTATATTTTCTGTAGAAAGAATCCATGAGATTTAGAAATGTTTCCCTTTTTTGCAAATTAATTTTGATATTTTTTAGCTTTTACTATGTAATGTATACCTCAGGAACATGTCTTACTTGACTTATTATATAGGAATTAAGGTTAAGGTGCTTCACACTCTTGAAAAGTTTTCTGTGAACTACATTTCTATATACTGAACCATTTTCCTGTGTTTGTCATTAAAGAATATGGGATATAGAATGTAGGATATCTATCAGAATCCTGGTTTTTCCTTACTACCTGTACATATTTTGTAAAATTTTTGACCCTTTCAGGGGCTGGAGTCACAGTACACTGAATAGATCATTTGCCTTGCACACTGCCAACCCAGGTTTGATCCCCAGCACCTCTAATGTTCCCCTGAGCATGGCAAAAGTATTTCCTGAGTGCAGAGCCAGAAGTAACACCTAGGTACCGCCAGCTGTGACCCCCAAAACAAAAGCAAAATACTTATTGACCCTTTCCTAAAAATGAGCTTGGGATTTTTGATAGTACCAGTTTTTGAAGTGTTTGTAAAATTGAACTGAGGGAGTATAATTTAAAATCACCAGAATTTTTGGAAGATGTGGCAACAACAGAATAGATTTTCTGTTTGAGACCCATATAGAGATAGGAATAGCAAAACAAAATCTCATGGAGACTATTTAAATGATAAGGTATCCCCAGAAAAGTCAGAATTTTTGTTGGATGGTACAAACCAACAATCACAAGACCAACGTGCTGTTAGAACTTACATGGTAGCAAGAAGATGAAAACATGGGGAATGCTGTTTAACAGACATTAGAACAGAACAACTCCCCAAAGTGCAAATATGAATTCACTAGAAAGTAGGGCAACTAATTCATAAGTGCTTAGAAAAGTTTGGCGCCTTAAGTATTCTCAAAACTCACCTGACAGGACTAATCTTAGGCAGAGTATTCATCATTGAGATAAAAATTGATCAGGATGGAATTGTAGATGCAGACTAAAGTTGAAGAAAACAGCTAATGATTCTTAGAACGTCCTTTTGAACACCACAAAAGAATGGTAGAGTTTAGAATTTAGAAAATCTGGAGCATTGTGATGGGTATAACCCAATAAACCTAAGCTCCTTTTGACAGAAGAGAAAGGACAAATTAATGTTCCTACAGTCTATAGGACCTTCTAAACCTGTGAATGAGATGATCCATCTCAAGAGCAGTTTGGACATTATAAAATCCTAGGTGACTTTTGAAGTTTACCTTTATAAAAGTAATTTCCAAATTTCCTCTATTCTTGATTCTCTCAGGCCTGTTGACTTCTATGAATAGTAGTTCGTTTTTACAAAGTGGTTATAATCACGTTCTACTCTCTTTAGATAATTGAATTTACTCCACTTTTTAAAAAATGATACCAAGGGTAGGGTGCTTGCTTGCATGGGGCCAGCCCAGGTTCAGTCCTCAGCACTCCATATGATTCCACCAAATCCCATGAGAACTGATCCCTGAGCCCAGAGCCAGAAAGAATATCTGAACACTGCCAGATGTGGCCCCCAAACAAACAAAAATATCATGAGAAGGTTACTTCCAAAGAATTTTTTAAAAGCTTTGTTGGATTTCTGGATTTTTAAATATACAGTTTTAAGATGTTCTAAAATTAAATACCTCTTCCAAAATTAGAAATAATTTTGAGTATATGACAAACTGCGAAACAGTTTGTTGACTGGGTTTTAAAAATTGTTTATTATATTTTCATTTTTATTTTTTATTTTTGGGTCACACCTGGTGATGCACAAGGTTTCATCCTGGCTCATGGACTCAGGAATTACTCCTGCTGGTGCTCAGCGAACTTAAGGGATGCTGGGAGTCAAACCCAGGTCGGCCCTACCCGCTGTGCTATTGCTCCAGCCTCCAAAATTTTGTAGTTTAGATTTAGTAAAAATGTTTTGTGGTGCCCAGTTCTTAGTTTTTATGAAGTGTATATTTATATTTATGATATTTATGTTTCTATTTGTTAGTGAATAAAAATAATGTAAATTATTACTAAACCTTGACCTAGAATTCTTTTGCTAAATTACCTGAATCACTGTCACTGTCCTCCTGTTGTTCATTGATTTGCTCAAGCGGGCCCAGTAACGTCTCCATTGTGACAATTGTCACTGTGTTTGGCATATCTAATGCCAAACGGATAGCTTGCCAGGCTTTGCCGTGCGGGCAAGATACTCTCAGTAGCTTGCCGGGCTCTGTGAGAGTCGGCCATGTTGGCTGCTTGCAAGGCAAATGCCCTGCCTCTGTGCTATCACTCCAGCCCAATTACCTGAATAATAAATTCAATTTGTAAAACTGAGCCTAAGTCCGTAAACCAAGTATTCTAAAACTCTAGACATAAAGATGTGTAATCACAAAATAAATAAGTGATTGGCTTGGCAGGTGGTGGTGGTGTTTCTCTCACCTGCCATGCTCAGGGGCCACGAGCTGCTTCCCCACCTTGATCTGCAACCACCATCAACACATGCATGAAGGAGGGAACAGGACTGCCAGGCTGGTCGGTGATCAGTTGCTGTTTATGCCATTCTCCCCACATGCCAGTTCCAGTCTCCCTTAGCGCCACATTTCAGGCACACACTGCCCCTCATTCCCATCTTCTGTGCCCTATGCTGGTCTCTCTGCATTTGCAGCTTTTGTTTCTTTTCCAACCTCCAAGCATTGGGGATAGTAATCACACCCAGGTAAGGCAGCACAATCAACGTATGAATGCCTTTCCTGATCTCCTGCAGCCACGAGATCCACTCAAGTGTGAAATACCACCTAGGAGTGTTTCTCCTTTACTTAGTCCAAAAACCGTTTAAATACATCTTAATTCTACTTCTTCATTTTAGTCATTTTTTGTGGACAAAGTAAGAGATACATTTAGCTTATAGGGTGGCTCTCCTGGGGACATCTCACTATAAATCTCAGACTACAATGTTCAGACCAGATGAGCCCTTCATAACTCTAACAGGGTCCTTATCCACTTGTTACTCTTGGATCATGACAGAATTTGTTGATGACCGTGCTCTTAACTTAGAGTTAAGTATAATGGTGTTTGACCTAACCCGTTTCAATGCCAGGGTAGCTCATAGCTTGCCCTGAGTCCATCCAGTCTCTCCTTGGGACCCTGCTTTTGGGGTCCTGGGAGGTAAGGGCAACAGAGGCTTAAGTCAAGAGAACAGATGCCCAGGAGTGAATATTATTCGGAGTCAATTGACTCCCAAGTTATAAAAGTATAACATTAGCTCTCTTCCTGTATCTATACAAAAAGGACATTACTCTGAAATAAACAATGCGAAAGGACATAAGAGAAGGAGAAAGCAGTATTTCATTTACATATACAAATCCAGAGATTTCTGAAGAATTTAACTTTACAAGTCACAGGTATAGCTTAAGGGAAAATGGTGATTAACTGGTTGGGGAAGAGAGCACAAAGAAGAGGTTAAAGATAAAAACAGGAATGGGAGTACCCTAGGAGCACTGTGAATGGGTGCAATTTGACAAACCCAAGCTCCTTGCAGCCAGGGAGAAAGGACAAACCAATGCTGTCCTACATGAAGATTTACTGAACGAACATAAATAAAGTTGCTACACATGCATACCACACAAAAGTAAAATTTAATACTTGAATTTCTAAATTGGTGAAAGTAATTCCACTAAACTTAATGAGTTCTGTTGATCCTGCCTGAAAATATAACACATTAATCTGTTGCACTCTTCATTCAAAGATAATTATAAGTTGAAACTGCATATTTTTCTGTCAATGTTAATTAAACATTTTGATTTATGTCAAAGTTTGAAATCTCTAAATGAGTTTTATTTATTTTTATTATTTGGTTTGGGGACCACACCTAAGTGGTGCTCAGGGCTTACTTTGGGCTCTGCCCTCAAGGTTCCTCCTGGTGATGCACAGGGGATCACTTGTGGTTCTGTGGATCGAACACAGGTGTTCGGCATGAAAGGGAAGTACTTTACTTGCTGTGTTCTCTCCAGTTTTGAGTTTATTCTTTTAAATTATAGATTTAGAGTTAACGATATTTATAGAGTGCTGCCAGATATAAACTTAAAGATTTGCTGCAGTGTATAATCTGTGCAATTTAGTCTCTTAGTTTCTGCATCCGTTAATTTGAGAAAGAATGGCAGATGATTATAGATTTGGTAAGAAGCGAAGTAAAAAGTTTGCCTGAATGGTATTTTCTGTATGTAGCTTTTCTTTTAGTAATTCCTTTAACTTAGAATAGTATGTAATTAATTCCTACTCTTCCATTGGCATGTTTAAGAGAACATGGACAGTTCAGTTTCCCAAGTTTTAATTGTTAAGTCAAACCATAAGAACTAGTTGCTTAACCATACTGGGGATGCAAAACAGGTAGATGATGAACTATTTATTGCTTTAAGCATACTGGTTGTCTATTGCTACTTTGTTTTCTTTCTTTTGTAGTGGTTGCTTCACCACCATATCCTTATCTCTCTGCTCCTATTAATGGTGCTGCATCCTCTTTACCACCACCACCTCCACCCCCTCCACCTCCACCACTTCCACTTGCACCTCCACCTCCTCTTCCTGCTGAGGTGGAAGAGGCATCAAATATACCACCACCACCACTTCCACCTCCACCTCCACCTTATTCCTGTGATCCAAGTGGCAATGATCTGCCTCAAGGTAAGTAGATTTGCAGATTTAGGTAAAGATTACTTAGGCCTGAGATTTAAAAATAAAAGATCTCAACATATTTATGTTTACTATTGTACTTAGGTTCACTGGTAGTAGTGAAGGGATCAATGTGAATAGGGATCAATGTGAGTTAATTAGTTTGAGATCATGTTAGGTAAGGGCCTAATAAAGGAGCAACTGAAAGCTGAGCTTTTTCTGAATGATTAAGAAACAGTGATGTTTCAAAAGTCATGTTAAAAGCCATGTTTTCTTTTTTCTTAAAGAATTTTCAGTTGGATGTTCATTGGTAAATCTATTTCCTCCGTGTTTCTCATTAGAGAATTATTTTTGAAAGTTCTTAGTAGCTTATTTATCTATTATTATGGGAATGCTCCCACCTGGTGTGCTTATAGCTTATTCCTGGCTCTGTGCTCAGGTGTCACAGTACTGTGGACTGTATATTGTGCTATATATATATATATATATATATATATATATATATATTGAGCTATGTATTGATTTTTAATTGATTTTTATACATTGAATATATATTAAATTTTTTCACTATATATTGAAATGGATTTGCCCCATGCAAAGCAAACTCCTCAACTTTTGTAATATCTCCTTGACCTAACCATTTGTTTTTCCACTGTCTCGAGTTGATTCCTTGTTTTCAGTCCCCAAGGTTTTTAACCAAGGTCTTCATCTCTAGTCTGTATCTTAAAAGTTTATTATTTCACACACATATGTATACATACACATATATATGTATGTATATATGTACATATATTCCTATCTGGTCTGAGCTTCACCATTTCAGTTTCTGTTTCTACTTGCCAGATATTTTTCTCTTGACTTTCTTTCATTTCAGATTTAGTGTATCTGTAATATAATCTCTTAATTTTATCTTTCTTCTTGCATGCTATACAGGATATTGATTTTTCTCATTTTTTACTACTTTGTTAATAGTGGAATAATTTTCACTTAACTTACCCAGTATTCTATCTAAATCCTGATACCTTTACTCCAAGATCATTGTTACCAGTAATGCTAATTTTTCAGTTCCCAACATTATACTATGAAAATGTTCAAACGTACATAAAGCAAATTAGATTTTGTTTTCAATATTTTCTGTAAGTTTTCTTATGAAATAAATTTTATTGATTTGCCATTGGTTTACAATGAAATATAATTTCAGGAGTACATCTTCACATCTCTATTTGTATATTGATATTTTGCGACACACACTATCAAAGTTCTAATGCCATCGCACTATTGAAAGTGTCTTTTCTTCCATTCCTCCCATTGGTCTCTTTTACCCAAGGATAGCCATGTTATTTTTATTGTTTTACCAGTATTGACTTTGGTTATTTATATTCCACTAATATAAAGCACTTGGAAACCAGTCTCTCTTTCTGATTTACTTCACTTTGCATAATTACCTCAAGTTCCATCCGTATTGTCCCAGAAGGCACTGTTTAATGTTGTTGTTGTTGTTATTTTTTAATTTTGAACCACACTTGGCAGTACTCAGGGATTATTCCTAGTTTTGCACTGAGGTGCCAGTCCTGTTGAGGCTTAGAGAACAATCTGGGATGTCAGGGATCTAGCTTGAGTCAGCCATGTACAAGACAAGCATGTTTCCTGCACTACCATCTCTCACCCCCGTACTATTCATTTTTAATAGCTAAGCAGTATTTGAATATATATACACTGGTACTTCCCTCATAATTTTTTTTAGTTTCTTAAAAGTTAGATATATTTCTCTATAATTTGAACGTGCTGTTTTTTCAAAAAGTTTTATTAAAAAATTTTATTGAATCACTGTGAAATAGTTACAAACTTTCATGTTTGGGTTACAATCACACAATGATCAAACACTCATCCCTCCACCAATGCATATTCCTCACCACCAATATTCCTGGTATACCTCCTCCCATTCCCACCCTCCCCCTGCTTCCATGGCAGACATGATCCTCATAATCTCTCTCTACTCTTGGGCATTATGGTTTGCAATACAGACCCTGAAAGGTTATCATGTTTGGTCCTTCCCTCAGAAATCTTGTTTGGTTATTATGAACTATTTTAATCTCTACAATATCTGAAATTTTATCATCTTAGGAAGTAACTTATGTCAAGTTATTTATCTCTTTGCCTTCTATTGGTGTTCTAATGGTGATGTTTTCATCATATTAAATAAAATTTATTGTTAAATAAAGACAAGTTAAATTGTTTCATACCGTGGTAGTTACCTCATAGGCATTACTAATCTCAACATTAGTACTCTAAGTAGCTTTGTTAACTTAGAATCAACATGGTTATGTATGTGGTAAACTTGTATTAAAGTAAAACTTTATTTTTAGACAAGCAAAAAAAGTGCCTTTACTGAATTTTTTTCTAAATGATAGTAGAATGGAATTTCTATATGTATGTTTAAAATTAGAGTAGAAATAAAATACATATGTAGTTTGGCAAATGTGGAGAATAGCCTTGTATGTAGTAATAGTAAGGAGTTATTTACTGTGAGGCATGGTATTGATGTGGGAAGACTGCATTTTATATTTCCCTACATAATACTAAAAAGGAAAAACATAATTATAAGTGGTTGTTCTAATTGCATATATCACTGGTCACTACATTTAACATTTTCAATTTTAGATACAAAAGTTTTGCAGTATTATTTCAATCTGGGGTTGCAGGTAAGAATTATTAAAATTGCTTTAATAAACTCTAGAATTTAAAAATGTTACTATTTTAATAGATCCTCATTTAAAAACAAGTACACTCTCAGTGGCATTTAAGTTTTCTTTCTGATGTATCTCTGAAGATACTATAAGTCACTTTTCTACTTTTGCCTACCAGTGCTTAATAAAATAGCAATTAGTTGTGTTGAGCTCTCACCAGCACAGATTTTGCATATATTTGCCTCAGTATTTATGCTAACCCTTACTAGATTTTTTGTTATGCTCATTTCTGCATTTTATGACAAGTAATCAGACTAATTCAAATATTACTTGTGTTTGTAGATATTTGACTGATTTCTCACTACTTCACTGAGTCATTGAAGGGAGTTCTAATAAAAATCACTAAAAGTTGTTACTCTATGTAGTTGAGTTATTTTAATGATCTTCTTCCAGGGATCATTTTCAACTGAAATACAGTTACTTGATGGTATATTTCTATTAAAAATGACACAGTTTACTAGTTAGCAGATAATAAATTATGTAGTCTCCTGGATAAAGTTCAGAGATTAATTTACTTAAAATCTTGGACGTTTCTAGACAACCATCTTCTCCAATTGAATTGTGAACTAAATTTTTTGTTCTTTGCTTCCAGAGTTCCTAAGTACAATTTCAAATGTTGAGTAAACTACTTCTCTTGTCAGTTGATTTAGCTTATTATGGTCACAGGTATAAATGTTGAGGTACTTATAAATGTACTCTTGCATTATGGTGATGTTTTCATCATATTAAATAAAATTTATTATTAAATAAAGACAAATTGTTTCATACCGTGGTAGTTACCTCATAAGCATTGCTAATCTCAGCATTAGTACTCTAAGTAGCTTTGTTAACTTAGAATCAATGCATCATGGTAATAATTACCTGTTCCACAAAGATGAACATTTAAAAATATCGTCCTGCATTTTGTCTCACAGAAATCCAAGGAAATACAAAATAGGTTTTAAATATTTTTGAATGTTACAAGTACTACAGTTGGAAAATACTAAATTATACTGAATTATCTGAATAACCAGTTTTAATTTATTGACATACTTTCTTACAGTTGCATACTTTTAAAATCAAATAATTGACTTTGCTATATAGTTTGCCTTTTGTTTTTGGGTTACACTCATCTGTGCTCAGAGCATGATCCTGGCTCTTCACTGAGAGGTAATTCCTGGCAGTTCTCAGGGGCACCACACAGGTGCCAAGTATTGAACCGGGGTTGACCATGTGTGAGGCAAGCGCGTACTTGGCCTTATTATCTATCTGACTTGGCTGTATATAATCTACAAACTTTTAATACTGTGAGAATTTTACCTTAAATGTTTTACAGTATGAATTTCAAAAGTGTCTTCTCCCTCACCCCTGCACACATGTAGTGCCAAGATCAAACTCAGGGCCTTACATATGTAAACATGTGTTCTTACCACTTGAGCCACATTCTTGTCCATTTGACAGCATGATTCTTGTTGTCTGTATAGTACACAATCACAGATATATTATTAATTCATCTAGTTCTCTATTGAATACTTTAGTGGTTTTGCTTTACAAAATGATGCTATGAAAATACGTTATAAACAAATCATTGTATGTACATATGATTTCCATAAGCTGTTTTCCTAATAGAACTCTTAAGTTCAAAAGTAAAATGCAAGGCTACAGTGGTAGTACAGCAGGGAAGGCAACTTTCACATAGCTGACCCAGGTTTGATCCCAGCACCCCACATAGTCCCCTAAGTACAGCCAAGCAGTGCCAGGTGCCATCCAAAAACAAACAAAAACCTACAAAAGTGAAATGGGAAAAAAGTTATATGCAGATGTAGAAGATATTGAAATTGTAAAATATTTTCTAAAAATATCACTCCATCTGAATATCATGACCCTACTTTAAGGAGATTCTGTACTACTTTAAGAATAAAGATAGTAATGTATGTTTTTCACTTCTTTTCTTAACCAAGTGCTATCACCACAACTACTGGAACTCAATGGTCTATGTGCCACAGATGCAACCGCAGCAGCTTCATGTAGAGAATTATCCAGTCTATACTGAACAACCTCCAATAGATAATACTGTTCTTCAGTTGGGAAGTGAAGTAGAGAGGCAAGATGGCACACAGGCAGAAGGATCAGCAAATGGTCAGTAACACTCCAGCTCTGTAGTTTGGCTTTTAAAAAATAAGTTTATAGAAAGTAAAATTCAAAAATAGTAAAAATATGGAATAAGGATATATATATATATATATTTTTTTTTTGCATTTTGGGTCATACCCTGGGCTGGAGCGATAGCACAGCGGGTAGGGCTTTTGCTTGCATGCAGCCAACATGGCCGACCCCAATCCGATTCCTCTGCCCCTCTCCGAGAGCCCAGCAAGCTACCGAGAGTATCTTGCCGCACGGCAAAGCTTGGCAAGCTCCCCGTGATGTATTCGATATGCCAAACACAGTAACAAGTCTCACAATGTTACTGGGCCCGCTCGAGCAAATCGATGAACAACGGGAGGACCGTGACCGTGGGTCATACCCGGTGATTATAAGGGGCTACTCCTGGCTCTGAACTCAGGAATCACATGGCTGTGCTATTGCTCCAGCCCTGGAATAAGGATATTTTTATGCAGCTCTAAAATATTGAACTTTGTTGGCTTTTGGGTCACACAAAGCAGGCTCCTCTTGCTAGTCTTCAGAGGTTGTTTCTGGAGGTGCTTGGGGACCATGAGGTGCCTGAAATTGAATCCATGTCACCTGTACACATATACTCCAGTCCTTTGTGGTATCTCTCTGGCCCACAGTATGTTTTAAAATGGAAAAGTTTATAAAGTAAAATAATTACACTAAGATAAGGTTAATTTATTAAAGAATATTTTTACAAATATAGTGTACATAAAGTAAAATAGTTTCAGTAAAATAAAGAACTATTTTTATGAATATAGTATTGGCACATGTTATAAATTGTAGATATTGTTGTGTTCTAGGCCAGACTTTCTCAAAGAGGGTAATACCATCCCACTTCCTGGGAGCACTGGAATGATCCAAGGGAGTACTGGTGTCAACATGTGCAGTTTGGAGACATTTTCAGTCCATTTGCTTAAAGAAGGTCGATTTCCTGGGGTATTCTGAGTAATTTTTTTTATCTGAGCAGTTGAGTATTGGTAAATAAGTTTGGAAACCTCTGTTTTAGGTACTCATGTTGACTCATCACTCACTGACTCACTCAGAGAAACTCCCAGTTATGAACGCTCCATTCATGGTAAGTCCCCTAAATACTGCTGTCATTTTTAAGTTTTGTATACTATATTCCATCTGTATTCCCTTTGCTTTTGGCTCTGCTCAGGGGATCATGTAGTGATAGAGGTCTAAATCTGGGCTTCCTGCATACAAATAAGTGTGCTGCAGCCTATTGACCTTTCTCCAGCCCCCACCTCAAGTTTTGATTGACAGTGATAGAAAAATGTTTTGTTTTTCTTTTTGCTCTTTTGGGTCACACCCAGCGATGCTCAGGGGTTATTGCTGACTCTTCACTCAGGAATTACTCCTAGTGGTGCTCGGGGAAGCATATAGGATGCTGGGAATCGAACCTGGGTTGGCCATGAGCTAGGCAAACACCCTACCTGCTGTGCTATTGCTCCAGCCTCAGAAAAAAAATGTATTTTTTTTGATATGTTATACTGGGTAGCCTAGTGATCATTTTTACTGGGAAACATAACTTGATTGCGGTCAACATTTATATGAATTTAGTTACTTAGAGGGATTTTAGAGAAAGATTATGCATTTTGTCTGTTGGTATCAAATGATCCCAGGAAGATTGCTATCTATTGGTGAAAGAATTTTGCTATATTAATATTTTAGAGTCTGTTTTAATCAGGCTATGTTGTTCACATATGAAGGACTACTGCCACAATTGCTGTGATCATTTATATGTTTAGAGCAAGATTTTTATTCTCATCTACAAGAACATATATTTATGTTGATGTTTCAGTTAATCTGTGTATATAAAGTGTGCTGCATGCATTATTTCAGGTACTTTTCCAAACGGTGATCCTGCATCTGTTCCTCATGGAGCAGTCTATTATCCAGTTATTTCAGATCCATATGCACCATCACCTTTGCCGGGTTTTGATTCCTGCATTCCTGTTATGCCAGATTATCCTTATGTTCCTCCATGGCATCCAGTTGGTACAGCATATGGTGGTTCTTCTCCTGTTCATGGAGCTATGAATACTGGACCAGTTGGCTATATTGCTTCTCCTCCCTCAGTTTCTCATTACTTACCTCAAAATATGTAAAATTCAGCAGTATGAATTATTCTTGTACTGCCATTTTTTGATGCTTTGATTTTTAAAATGTGTTTTATGTTGGAGTTTAAGTGATTTAGGTTGTTAGAGTGTTTACTATCATATCTTTAAGATTATTTTATCTTTTGATTTAAATAGTGCATTAAAGGAATATTTGGACTGTAAACAAGGAAATAAGGATGGATGTACAACTAGCCCCATTCTTCATTCTATTCAGCTATTTTTCTGTCAATTAACTTGTCAGCTTTGTATTCACTGAAGGTACCTATTGATAAAAAGAGTAGGTACACTCTTTCCTAGGTTCAAGTATATACATTAAAAATTGGAATGACTTTCACCAGTTTATGTAAAATAATACACAAAACCACCAGCCTTTTGCTCCTGAGTCTTGCATAAATGAGACAAATTGTCAAATTTCTTTAAAAATTATCTGAACTGAGTTGCCTTCTATAATTATTAGTTTTGAAGGTAGATTTATTGCTCTGCTTTGGATTTATTGCTTATGCTATTGTTTAATATTAGATTTATGTGTTTTACTTCACAGTATTGAATTGGTGTTATTTGCACATTTAGCATTAAATAAAAATAGCATTTAAAATTGCTAAAGTGAGTGAGATTTTCTTTTTTCACTTTTGTGGCAGCAAGGAGAAACAGGATGTTTTCACTTCTGATACTTTGGTTAAAAAAGAATGCAGATTCATAGTATAAACTAAGAGGGTCTGTTTAAACATTATTATCTCTTTAATTTTTAAACTCTTTTAATTGCCTTCTTTAAAAGTCATTTGTCTCATAGTCAGCTCTTTCCCAGACCCAAAAGAACCTTGAAACTCTGGGTTCTTAGTTGTTTGAATAGTTGAAAAAACTTAAGTGTAATCTATTGCAAAGAAATTATTTTATCTTCAGTACATTGTGGTAAGTGGGCTGGAGCGATAGCACAGCAGGTCGGGCGTTTGCCTTGCACGCAGCCAACATGGCCGACCAGAGTTTGATTCCTCCTCCCCTCTTGGAGAGCCTGGCAAGCTACCAAGAGTATCTCTCCCGCAGGGCAGAGCCTGGCAAGCTCCCCGTGGCGTATTCAATGTGCTAAACACAGTAACAAAGTCTCATGATGGAGACATTACTGGACCCGCTCGAGAAAATCGATAAACAATGGGAGGACAGTGACACTGTGCTAAAGATAGTGTATATGTGTTGAACATAAGTAAGTGCAGGTTAAGGCTTCTACTGCATATTCACATTGACCTATTTAGATTGTTTTGTAATTTTGCATTGGTGATCTTGAGTACTCTATGGGTTGGGATATGAAAATTCTAATATAGGTATGCGGGATATTCTCAGTAGCTTGCCGGGCTCTCCTAGATGAATGGAGGCTTTTGGGGCAGCCTCTAATCACCTTTACAGGTGTTCTAGTCAGGCATATAGGTAGGTATGATACTCTCAGTAGCCTGCCGGGTTCTCTGAGAGTGAGAACTAGAAAATAAGAGGTCACACGGCCAGGAATGCTTGGTTTTATAGTCTCTGGATGGCCGTTGATGGGGTTACACGGCAATTGGTGGGTAAAACTGTCTAACTACTGGAAGTTGGGGGAGCTGGTTGGAGGAGGCCCAATCTCAAACTGAGCAGGCTTGGAGATCTCAGCCCCGGGTCCCGCACACCTGGGTTCCTCTGCCAGTTCCTCATTCCGTCCGCTCTTCAGAGCCTGACAAGCTACCTGTGTCATACTCGATATGTCAAAAACAGTAACAATGAATGGTCCTCATTCCCCTGACCCTGAAGGAGCCCCCAGTATGTCATCAGGTTACACTTGCACGTGACAGGGACAAATGGAGATGTTACTGGGCCCACTCGAGCAAATAGTGATAGTGATAATATAGGTATGCAAGTATGCACTCATCTTTATAACAGCCACCTCTGGTTGCTCATGTTGTTGGTTTCTGTCAACCTCTTGTGTTCTGAGCTTTTGCAGCTTCTCAGTTAATGTTTCAAGGATTGGTCAAGGTTAAAACATGGAGAAACCCCACTTCAATATTTTCATATATCTTTATATTTAGGAAATGCACTTAACTCACAGTAGATGATTATCCTAATTGAAATAGTCCATTGGGGTCAGGTGCTGTATGATTTCAATCTGTAGTTTTATAAATTCAGAAGATATTTAGACTATTTTTCATGAAACCTTTGCAAATGGTTCACTAGCTCAAGGGATTTCTTGAGAATGTGGGTCTGAAAATTGTGTGGTTTTTGAAATAAGCATGCTTTACTTAAATTTGTTTTTTTTTAATGTAGGAGTATTGCTATTTATTCAGCCATTGATTAAGCTGATTGAATTGGGCACGAACTCCACCTTTTTTTTCTTTTTTATAAATTTCTGGAATCACCATGAGAGCAGTTACAAAACTTTCAGGCTTGAGTCTCAGTCATACAATGATGAAACACCCGTCCCTTCACTAGTGCCCATTTTCCACCACCAAAAACCCCAGTACTACTGCCCCCCCCCCAGCTCACACCCTCCCCCTACCTTTGGGGCAGATGATTTCCACATTACTCTCCCTCTACTTAGATTACATTCAATATTTTGACACCAGACCCACGATGATTATTTGGGATTTTGCCCCAACACTCAGACCTTCCGAAAAAGCAACCATAGACAATTTGTTTTCTATTGCTGCTTATGAATAACATATGTTGTCTCTCGACCGCAGTAGTGGCCATGAGATTTTGGAATTCCAAAATTTTAACAATTAAATCGGGAGGGATTTCTGCCAATACCTGCTGGGTTCCTAGATTTGTTTCTGAGTCTAGACTCAGAACGCTCAATGCTTACCCTTGGCTCTTTTCTCAGCGATCGATTTTAGGGAGGTTCTAGAGACCATATGTGGTGCCAAGGATTAAACTGGAGTCAGCTGCATGCAATGCAAGCACTTTAACCCTGGTATAATTTCTTTGGCCCAAGTTTCAATATTTTCATTTGTTTTTAATGAAAATGGAAAACCACAATTGTTTTGAAAATAGATACAGCATAAAATGTTTTCTCTCACTGTGAAAATAGTGTACCTTTGGAATAACCAATTTATTTCAAAAGAAGGAAATGCAAGGATAGATACAAGAATAAATCATTTTATCTCCTCTCAACAATTCTAAGTGGATAACATTTGGTTGACAGCAGAGAAAAATAGTATAGCTTCTGTGACATCAAGGACAATTAAATGCAATATATGAAAGATACATATATATGTCTGTGTGTGTGTGTGTGTGTGTGTATGTGTATGTATGTTAGTAATCTCTTACAGAAGGGCTTAATTAAGGCCCTTGGGTGAAGTACAATATTCACACACTTTCCTCTAAAGAAAAATTTTGGAGCATTTTTAGTGGTTTATCCATAACAGTAGCACTGTCCTCCTGTTGTTCATCAATTTGCTTGAGTGGGCACCAGGAACGTCTCCATGTGAGACTTGTTACTGTGTTTAGCATATTGAATACGTCATGGGGAGCTGGCCAGGCTTTGCCCTGTGGGCGAGATACTCTCAGTAGCTTGCCAGGCTCTCCGAGAGGGGCGGAGGAATCGAACCCGGGTCTGCCAGGTTGGCCGCGTGCAAGGCAAACGCCCTACCAACTGGGCTATAATTTAATAATTTTTTTATTTTTTGATTCACGTGATATAGACTTACAAAGCTGTTCAAGGTCAGGTTTCAGTCATCCAACACCCATCCCTCCACCAGTGTACATGTGTACATTTCTCACTGCCAGTGTCCTTAGTTTTCCTCCCGCCACTCCCCTCCCCCCCAGACTTCCTCTATGGCAGGCACTTACCTTCTCTCTCTCAACCCCTTCCTCCTTCCCTTCTCTCCCTTTCCTGCTCCCTGGACCCCTCCTCTCTCTCTTCCTCTACACCCCCTTCTTTTGGGGGCATTATTGTTTGCAGTACAGGTACTGAGAGGTTGTCATGTTTGTTCCTCTATCTGTTTTCAACACACAATTCTCATACACAGTGATCATTTCCAACTATCTTTGTCATGGTTATCCCTTCTCTATCCCAAGTGTCCTTCCCCCCCAGCATTTGAGGCAGCTTCCAAGCATGCTCCAATTCTCCTGGCCCTTGTTTCTACTCTTTTTGATTATCGTTCTAATGTTATGCCTTTTTAGAATATACTACAAATAAGTCCAATCATTCTATGTCTATCCCTCTCATTCTGACTCATTTCACTCAGCATGATATTCTCCATGTTCATGCATTTATTAGAAAACTTACCTACCACTTTTGAGTTCAGTTTTTTCCTATGACTGCCACACGGTACTTGGGAATCATAAAGTTTACCTTTGAACAGTTACTTTGTTTTGTGGTTGATCCTCTCTCCCCCCAGGAAAAATGCTGACTCTTGTGAAACTGTTAGTGGTGGTAGTGATGAAACTAAAACGATTCTTGTCTATTTAGACTGGTAAGTACTTTAAAGTGTTAAAATTTTATTTTAGCCAAGCATTATTAGTGAAGAGTACTTCTTTATTGGTATTACATGGGTGACCATTCCCTTCACCTAATCACTGAGCATATCTCCTCCTGGAGACCTTTTACCAAATTGTATAATACAGATTTTTAAATTTTATTTATAGAATTATAGGGGAAAATTCGACTCCATTATTAGAAATTTAACATTATAGGTTTAAAGAAACTTTTTCTTTGCCGAGCTTATTAGCCAGATCAAAGTGATTTTGGGGGGATGTTTGGAGCCATATTCTGTGGTGCTGGGACCCACTCAAGGCTTTGTTTCTTCGAGATCATGCAGTGTAAGAGATCAAGATTGGGCCTCTCATGCAAAGCATGCACTGCATTCTTTTGAGCTATTTTTTCAGCTTTCAAAGAGACTCATTTTTAAACTTAGTTTTAGTTTTGTAAGGTTAGAGATCTCCTATTACAGCATTGTGGTTATAGATAATAGAACTGAAATGTATACTTAAAAATCTGCTATGAGGAGTGTCTCATACTAAGTATACATACCACAATGAAATAAAAATAAATTAGTTTTACCACATGTATAGCCTTAAAAACAAACACAATTTTTATTAATTTTTCTTGCTTCAACAGTTGAACTTTCATTTTCTTTCATTCTTTTAGTTATATTAGCCAAAAAGTTTTCCTTGTTGTTTGAATCATACTATAGACTCGACTTTTAACCTAGTTCTTTTTCTTTAGTCTCTGGTCTTTCCCAACATTTTATTACCAAAAACATTTTAAGAACAGAAATCTTGAAATAATTACATAATAAATGTTTGTATATCCATCACCTAGACTCTACAGTTAACATTTTACTATACTTTTTTACGTATCCATCTCTAAATCCCTACTGCTAGTGCATTACAACAAAAATTGCAGGATTCCAATAGACTTTGCCTTTAGCATGCATGTTAGCATTCAGTGTATGTTACAGGATTTTTTTGAGGTGCAGTTTGCATGCAGTGAAACACAGGTAT